TCTGATTCATTCAATTTTGACCACATTAAATCTTTATTCCTCTATCCATCCTTCTATCCTAGTGATCGGAGGATATTTCTGCGCTATCTGTCTTCAATCTGCTGTGCATGCTAAAATCAGCTGTCACCCACGCTGGGTTCAGTCTGATTTGGAAAGCCAGTGGCACGTTATGAAGAAAGGCAAAGAGCGATTAAACAGTCTCTGACAAAAAAGCCTCTGAGTTTCCCAGTTTGTCACCAACGCTTTAACCTACAACAACCAAGCTCCGTCAAACACCCAAAAACTGCTCACACAGCCTCAAAGATCAGATCAGCTGCAGTCTACCATGAAGGGGAAAAACAGTGGTTGACAGTCATAAGAACTCAAATCATTTCTCAACACCCCAAACCACCTTCGCTGCCCACTCTTTCTCACTGTTCGAATCAAATGGAAGACCCCTCGAGCTGTGGCAGACAGGTCTGGGGGGCCAGGAAAAAAGTCTGACGAAAGACCATGGACAAGAAGAAACTGCCAGATGTCACACTGAGTTGTCAAGGGACCGTCTGACCGGCAGGTTTTCCCGGCAGGCTTTGTGCTGCATGTGAGAAGTTGATGCAGCATAAAGCCACGGCCTCAGAGGACACGCCATGCTTTAAGGGCAAGAGCATCAGTGATGCCAAACTCCAACATGCCTGAGCTGTAACACAGTCCTCCAGCCTCCTAAACTCTTCCTTTGACTGTCCAACTGAAACTCTCCCTCCACTGAACATCGTATTTATTATCATGAAGCGACACTAGGGCACCCCTCTCAAAGTAGAAAAAGATATCACATTTCTGTAACAAGGCCTCTATATGTTAGCCCTGGAAAAACTCCAGAATATCAAATCAGTTATAATTGCTCAGTTACAACTCCTACTGATTGGATCATGTAATTTTTTAGATAAATTTTTTTGTGTCTTTTCTTAATTGCAAATAAACAGGGATGTTTGCCCCTGGAAGTTGGTTTCAAGGCTCCAAAAGTGAGCATTGAACAGCAGCTCGAACTTAAAGGGTGTCACAAAGGGATGCATTAGAGAAAATGCGTGCTGAGCTGTGTGCCAGAGTAAAGCCGGCTGCATGTATTAGAATTTATGCATCTATGTGATCTTGAATGTCTATCAAGTTGCAATGCTTTTTAAACAAGTGACTCCACCAACCAAAACTCCCTTTAATTACAAAGACCAGCATATTTCTGGTCTGATACCTTTGAAGATGAAGAAATATTATTATGTGACCAACGTGGAGGCATAAAAAAGAGAGAAAAAGGAGGGAGTAGGTGGTGGTGGGGGATTTTACTTTGTGCTTTCTTCTGTAAACTCAACCGGCATCGACCAATGGGAAATCAATGCACTGACTGCTGCTGTGAGTGTCAATGAAATGTTTGGAGTTGCAATCCAAAAAACGCACCCACGTGGCTTCAGACTCTGACAAACACCAGCAAATGAGGACACAGGCAGCATGTACCGCTACACAAAAACAAGTAGACACACACACACAAAGACAATTAAATAAGAAACAAATCAGCAGGGCATCTTCCACATAGATTACTTCAGATCTATGAGACAGTTGTTTTTAACTGTTACTGGACTATGAGAAAATGCACATAGGAGATATTTCAGATGAAGAGAAAAACTTACCTAAAACTGGAAGTTTTAGGTAAGTGGATACGCTTTCTGTGCTTTTTCGAAGATGAAGCAAACGGTGCTGTTCTATAACGCGTCAACTCAAATATGACTCCCAGATTTCTGAATACCATCTGCGTGTTTCTAACATAAATCCAACCATCTGTGTCAGTTCACAAGTCCCTCACAAGAAATTTGACTTACAGACTCAGATGCGAATGAAGAAGAAAAAAAAATATTCACAAACGTCACACTGCAAAGACTGGAGGTGAAGAAAAACAGTTTAAAAAAAAGGCAACTTATTTACCCGATTTATCTGGACAAACACTTATTACTCAGAATCAGGCCGGGCAGGTTGGCAGCTTAATTCCCAACCCCTCAACCTGCCAATGTGGGTAAGGCATTGATCCCTTTTTTAAACATGCTTCTTGCACACTAATAAGCTGAATGTATATGTGTCGAGAAAGACATTGTGAAGTGCTTCATAAAACCAAGCAAAGGTTAAACACGTGCTCGTAAGTACTGACCATTTACCATTTAAAAAGTACAATTTGTCATTATATAGGGGCAAGATGCTGGACCGCTGGTGAGAGTGCTATTGATTCTATAATCTGCCTCACTCCGAAAACAAATATGCATATTTCCCAAAATGCCAAACTAATGCTTCAATGACAGTATAAAAAATTTACACTGTCAATACGAAATCTGAAAGGCTATGCTGCATTTACTTAGATAAAAAAAACTACAACTTTGCCCTTTCATAAATCCCAACAGAGGTGCAAATGACCACCAGCAATAACTGCCACATATTTTCAGCTAAACTCAAATTTCATAGAGAAAATTTAGCAACAATCTACATTGCTGAGCAATTATTTATTGATGTCAAACAATTTGTGCAATGCGTGACAGATTGTAGCATACACTGTGATTTTAAAGCATGAAAGCAGCTTGACTGTATAAATAAATATCATCATAAAGATGGACCAGGGTCAACGTCCAGGGGAAATGTTCCTCTCTGCTACAGAGCTGCCGCATCCTGCTGTCTCATTTCTGCTCATGCAGCCCCGTTCTTAATTTAGCCTCTTCTGCGCCCACGCAGATCACAATGGTCTGCAACAGGCCAAGGTGCACGCCGTTGTGCCACTCGACAAGCATGAAGAGGTGGAGAGACGGAGGGTAAATCAAGACATATCCCTGAGTTGATAGATACTGAATTGAACCAATAGAGAACACTGAGCAAGGTCAGCATCCATTAGCCATGCCTTGAAGTCACAGATGGATAACAGAAAGCCAAAAGGGGTCGTCAAATACTGCTGTTAACACACGCGTCGCACACTGGACATGTCATTGTGCCGAACAGCATGCAGGGAAACAAACGGAGGAAGCGTGCACAAACTACAAAAGCAAATATGCATCGCAGAAATATCCTTTTCTGACACCTTACATTTCAAAAGCAAATATTAGCAAAGCTTCCACAATGTAGTAGATGTGGTAAAATACTGACAATCTGGTTACTTTTGCTGCTTATAATCATGTTGTCTGTACCCTGGCAGGTCAAAATAGCACTAATGTGGAAGATGTGGTCAAGAAGGAGTAATCATCAAATAATCCAGTCTGAACAACACAACACAAGTTATAAACTAACTTTTCTATCCAAGTAAAAACTAATTCTGTACTACTTTTTGATTTTTGTTGTTGCCTCCAGACCCTGGAACAGTCTTGGGTGAATACAGTTTCAGAGTTGTATATCACTGTACTTTACTATTTGTTTTAAAAGCCCTTTAGCCTGAGACTACATTCCAACTCTATTAACTCTTCTTGCTACTATCAGGTCACTGAGATCATTAGTGCCCCTTGGTACTTGTTATAACTTCTTGGAAATTCCTCCTGTGTAGCATTTGGAGCTCCACCACTGGCAGTTGTAGAACAAATACAAAAAACAGAGTGTTCTTCGTGTACTTTTAATTCTGGCTGATGCAGACATTTTGACACCCTCATCTCCTTGAGCTGACTCTTATTCATTGTCGAATTGGCTGTCAGATTGTATATCTTACCAATTACTTTTTAAAACTTCTTACCCTATTGTGCAAAAAATGTCATGCAATGCTTTCAGTTACTAATTTTTGTTTGAAATTGATCAATTTACATGGAAGCGGACAATATTCCGGGTCAACATCCGCTCTGTAAAGGCGCCATCCAAAGGTGACTCGACATCATACATTGTTTGAATTTGAATTTCTTGTACCAACAAAAAAAAATGAATGGCCCAATTGCTTTTTAGCTATTACAGCCAACTCTGTCCCCCTTTAACTGCTTGCAGAATCACAAACCGTCTGCAATGACGTTGCCAATGTCATACTGTTACCTGAGCTAAGCCATTATTACACAGGCATTCTTAATAGCCTTATAGATTAAAGTCAAGAGGAACAAGACACCAACAGATTAGAAAAAGAAAGATAGGAAAGGGATGATGAATTGCTTGAGATTGCTAAGCAATCATGCATAAATTACCGGGATGTTCTTTGGTATAATAACCTGTTTTAAGTGATCACTCACTCCTCGGGAGCTGTCGTGTAAGGAGGGCCGGGTGGAGGTGCAAGGGGGAAAGAGATAGGTGGTGGTTAAAGAAAGGAGCGGGTCGCAGCTGTCTACTCAATCACATCAGCATCAAGGGTATCGCCCTGACACTGTCTCCACTCCGCGCCCTCAGCGTTCACACAAATCTCCTGATAGACAGGCGCAGCAGTCAAACAGCACCCTCGCCCCACTGTCAGGCCCCCACAAGGTTCCCCCCCCGCTTGTCTCTGCGGCCCCACAGGCAGCCGCCGGGAGCGCCGGCAACAACTTATTATTCAGGGATTTCGGCTAACAAGGATCTGCCGCGTGGAGCTCAAAACAACATGTTCTAGTTGTGAATACATCATGCAGCGGGGAGGAACAGGCTGTCCTGTGTTTCCCCTCTCCCTGGATGTGCTGCACTTTTTCCGTTGCCGAGCAGATTCGGGAGGCGCGGCTTCAGATTGCCGGAATTCAAGCCAAAACTTCTGCGGGCCCTAATTGTACGGACCACGAAGTGTCAACACAGCTCAAAATAACACACACACACACGCCGAAATGAAACTGCGTCGATAAGCTGGGAGGTTTTCTCTTTCTACGTAAAATATTTATTAGATATTGATACAGTTTAGGGGAAATTAATCGTACCTGGTATTTACAGCCGAACTCAATTTATCTGTTCAGCCAAGATTCGTGAATCAACCATCTAAAAATACACGTCTCATTTGATTAAAATATTGCTCGGTCTTGATAGGTTCACGGAAAGATCTGACGAAATTTCATCTCCTGACAAGAAACGTACATTGCAAAGGTCACAGATTGAAGGTTCCCTTCAAAAGTCACCTCATTTTTGCCGTATTCTGAAAGTATCATCTGAATAGAGAAAAGACGATTGAAATGTGCAAAGTTTCTTTAATTTAAAGGAACACAGGGCTGGCTTTTCAAATGTTTTCTGCCTGCACTGAATTTCTGTTCTCAACATTTTTATTTATATGGCCAATTCAATGGTAAAATAGAGTAAACCTTTCTCTATATTTGCATAAGCCAACAGGCCATTCCTTCTCTATGACTGGAAAATCAAAAGTAAAAACAGTCTGAAAGTATGACCCCTTTTTTTTCCGTCTTTGACATCTCTTTTTTAGTCTTTTTCATCTTAAAATATACCGGGTACATTTGAGACCAGCAGGACAAACAAGAAGTAGTTTTTACAATCCTTAAAGTTAATCTGAAGTGCTGCATTGTACTTTTGCAAATGGAAGTCAATGTACCAGAAAGAAGATCCAGGGGCATGAAACGAGGTACTTTCTGGTTGTCAACAATCGTAGACCCTGTGCAATTACTTAAACATTAATTGCTCGCCATCTGTGGTTGCCGCTGAACAAATTGTGTGTTTACTGACAGAACGAAACAAAACAGAAAAAAATCACATTTCTGAGAGAAATGTGGAAGATCTGTTTTTGTGTGCAGATAAGAAAACTGTGTTTGTTAGTTCCATGTGCACAACTAAACATCTGAAAACTCATGAATATCCAAACTGTCAAAACACAACCAATCAGTCAGCTCATTCCTGAAAATAAGCACTATGTCCTACAACCACTGAAAGCCAGTCGCTCTTAATGGGAGGAAAACGACCAAAGATCTCTACACAATGTGGTGACGCCAACACCTGTTGATAAGAACATATGACAACATGTATTTGATTAGTCTGTCCAGTTTTACTTTCTTGCTGTTTAGAGCTGAGATGTTTTTCAGACAGTACGAAGCGCCAGCTCGAACCAGAGTATACTTTTCCAGAGAGGTCATAATGTTCACTCTGCCGTAACGGTGATGCTGTTTGGGCCATCTGCAGCAGCTCGAACAGCGTAGGTTTGGCAGGAGTTCAGCATAACCCAGGCAGACTCTCCACCACGGGGGACCTGTTGAGGACCAGCCCTCAGACTGGCACAGCCCCTCTGGGGAGGGACATTTGTCTCCCTCCACCACGCCGAACTTTTCTTAATCAGCATCGCCTTCTTTGTTCCTTGCTTTCTTCCTTAAAGTCATGATACTGCACTATCTCGTCCTCTAAATTTCTAGATCTCCGTCTCACTGAGCGCTTATACATTGAGTAGATCTAGTAATGCTCACACAGCACTGAACTATAGAGAAGAGTAAACTTAAGCCGCTAAACTCAATAATATTTACAGTGGCAAATTAGGCTGAAATGCAGAAGTGGTTGCCAGCTATTCCACACGATAAACTGTATGCACACACACACACACAGGAGAGCTGGAGCTCGTCTCTCCTCTGTGACTCATTATGGACTTGATAAAAAGCCACAATTGTAAAAAACATGCAAGTATTATCTCTGTGACACGGTCACCGAGATGTTGTATAAACAGCAGGAAGGAAAGAGCGAGAGAGATTGATAGTTTCATTTTTCTACCCTATAATCCGAAAAGATGCTACAAAGCCGCAGTCTCCTCTCGCCAGTGTTTTTCAATCCCCTTTGACCCCAACTTCAAAGAAAGAATGCAGGGCGATGATTTTGTGCGCACAGACGATAGCTGTTTCCTGGAACTGAGGATTTAAATTCAACAAGCTTTCAGGAGACAAAACAGAGAATGACTAAGTCAGAGGGCCAAATTTATTTTATACTGGTATGAGTCAAACATGTAGCCGGCCATGCAAAAAGCCTATTACTGAAAACGGCCACTGAGGAAGAGACAGAGCTCATCTGGCATTCCCAAACCTAAACCACAGCCTGAGGTTGGTCTAAGCTTAGCTATATAGGTTAAGTCAGTCAGCCAAAGTTTGGTTTCCTGGCATGAAGTCTGAGAGAATCACACCAAAGGCATATATTATCACATTCTGGTGCACTGACTAGAGGACTTTAATTAAGAAGCCAGGTGGCGGCTCGTGATATCCTGAAGTGTTGAAGGGTGCTATCCAAGCTCGGTGCCACATGCTAGCAGGGCAGCCATTGCTGGCCCGTGTTACATCACAAATAAACCAAGCGTGCACGGTAAGCACGCAACAAGAGGAGACTGCTGACCGGAGTGGTTTGAGCTTGCCTCCAGGCTAGAATCAGCCAGTATCTAACACTCTCAGGTACTACCGATATATAGTACAACAAAGTACACAGTGACCCACTGAAACACACACACACATGAACAATCTGTTCAAAGGGGTGGCTCACTACTGTACTGTACTATTAACCTTGGAAAAAGGCACTAATAAAAGAGGACTTTTGCACCTTACCTTGTCTCTATTTAATTTGTCCTAATACTGAATTTCCCTCAGGTGCTGTGCCAAGTATGTAGACCAAGGAATAATGCAACAAAGAAAGTCCCCCAGTCTGACATGTAAAATCTGTTAGAGTAGATCCCACACAGTGAATAGAAATAATAAACAATTCATTTTTAAACACAAGTAAACAAGGTCTAGAGGCACTCAAACAGCATTCAAGAGAAAGCATTCTGAGCTAGTTCAAGGAAATGAGAGCTCCCCCTTCCATCACCCTGACCCTGTTTATGCAAGCATTTTTTCATATCTGCGCTATTAAGTGTGTGTTTATCTTAAAATATTATTTAAAATGTCTGTTTTTACATTGTGGGACTGACTTACAAGAGGTAGAAGGGAATGTATGGAATATAAAATATGGGGATAGCTCCATTATTCAGCTGCGAGCAGCAGAGCAAGTCGAGACGGCCGAGCTTCACAGGGCAGACCGCAAGTCAAACCTGCTTTTTCTTTTAATTTAAAAGAAAAATCAATGGCTGATGCCACAGCTTGCACTTTGTGGTGTAGTGCAGATTCGCCTCCCTCTATCCCCCAAAAGTAGCCAGTCTCACATCTTTTTGTTTCAGCGCACAGTGCTGGGAATCACAGAGGGGCTCAGGGGCCACGAAAAACAGGGAAAAGCGATAGGAAAGAAGTTACATCAGCAGATGAGATTGATAGGGCTCGCTTCTTGCCGACTTTTATCTCGAGCTAAATACACAAAATGAAAAACACAAACACATCGATAAGTGACAACATCACCAACTGCTCAAAACAAAAGCAAAGAGCACAGATCTCCCTGCTGTAAAAGTTCTGCTTGGAACTCTGTGACGACATGCACTCCTGTCTATTCCCCGGTGGGCAAGAGCTGAGGAAAGGCTTATTTTGGAAGGTCGTTTTTACTATCATGGCCGATCAGTGTATAGTTTCTTGTCAATCTAGGGGAGAAGGGAGGGGAGAACAACTGCCATGATAAACAAGTGATATTGCAAGAACAAGGTGTATTAAAAAGGGGACAAATACGTGCTCAAATACGCCTCCACAAACCGACACAAGCAGGCGTGACAGCACACAAATTCCTAAACGAATATGTGTATTCTTGAGGTGTGCGACATCGGGACAACTGTAGCAGTTAAAGTGCCAGACCTTTGTGCCTGCCATCAATTCTGCACTCCAACCAATATAGTGTATCTTGCACTCGGAGGATGGAAGAATGGGAAGGGTGCGAGAAAAGAAAAACAAAAGCGATTGATATAAATGATCTGCCGGCCAACAGAAGTCCCTTGGCAGGGGCAGGCGAAGGTCCGCTCGATACCAATTGATCGTGGGAGGCCCAGGCATTCGTCTTAATTCTGACTAATTAGGGCAGTGGCTGACGAGTAAGGGTTAGAGGGACAAGTTGTTGATCTGTGTGTATGCATGTGTTACTGGGCATCGCTGGCACCCCCCAAATGACAAAAATCTAACCCCCCTCATGTTTGCAAAGCGTGGAACAAGTGAAGGATTAAGGAAATCAGTTTAGGAAACAACAACCGTCACCACATTAGTGTTGCTGCCAAAAGAATTCCCCTGTCTTCAGTGGGTTGCCTGACAGGCAGAATGGAAGTAAATCCTTCTCACTTTTTTTTTTCTTTTTTTTTATCGTGTTTGTGTGAAAAATGCTGATTATCTTCTGCCAACACAAGTCTGGCCCGTCGGTGGCAGAAAGAAAACAGAAGAGATCTTCTTCTCTAACCTCACCCATTCCACATGTAGACATCAAAGCTTTTTCTATTTGCAGGGGAAGAAAAAGTGGGCTCGATGGTGACAAAAAGCATGATTTACGCACGAGCTCTTGAGTGTGAAATATTACGGCGAATGAGTTTCCGGTGCCAGAGACAAAGCTGTGGGCACAGGAGGCAAAGTGCCTGGGTGTGCACGGCCGCAGCACCAGACGGTAATGGGAATCTGAGGATAGGAGCTGTGAGCGGGGAGGGTGCTTTAGAGTTTAGAGACAAAGCCTTTTTTAAAAGATCAGAGCATAGGGGAGCCAACCCTGAACGGGGCGCTGAGGTGAAGACAGCAAGGCTCAGACTCTGATTTCTATCTGTCTCTCCCCGAGGATGTCAGCCGTGTGAAGCGAAAGGTGGCGGGGGAAAGGTATCACAGCGAATGAGGGGCGCCAAGCGATGACAATTCTACCTGACTGGAGATCGCAATCGGAGGTTGGAAACATACACGAGCATTCATGAGAAGGTGAACGAGGCTGGCATCGCGCCCGACCGGCGACGTAGACAAAGGAGACAAAATACCAGTAAAAGTGACAGACAGGCAGCATATCTGTATCAGACAAGATCCCAGTGTTGAAAAGACGCCCAAAAAAAGGAAAAAAAAAAAAAGCTCAGACGGCTGAGCTGACCTGTGCTCTTTGTCACTCATTCACATAGGCCAGACTACCAGAGACTGACAGATAAACTTGGGTATCTGCGGCTCGCTGATATTCCGTCAGCACAGACCTCGCTGTCCTTTCAACCACTGGCACTTTTGTTCGCCGCCTTCCATTCATATTCTGGCCCGCTCGGTTCAGCCACCAGCCCCCGAGGGCAGCACTTTATCAGGAGTTCACAAACAGAAGCACGCAGACTCACAGCGGGTGTTTGGATATCCTCGTCCAAGCTATAAATACTTTCTCCAGCGTGTTGTCATTCTATTCACATCAAATTTGCCAATCAGGATGGACATGTCCCCTAAAATCTCTGCTCGTCGGCCTCAGTGTGATGTCCTAATGACTGCCTGGCTGTCAATACTGGTCCGCATAACAGTGGGCCCTGAGGGGGACAATTAGGGAGAACAGGAGATCTTTTCCTTGATAAATGTTGTCACTGCTGGTACTGGTACTAATAAGCACTAATTTGCTGTTGTGGACTCTGATGACACACTGTAACAGCTCAACTGTAGACAGATGGGTAAAAGCCCTACAAGCCTTTACATTAAAGTGAGACAAATGTTTTCATTACTTATGCGAGGTCGGAGCAACAAATGTGTAGCGTTTATGAGATTAGGCTCGGGAAACATGCCGGAAATACTGTATAGACCTTTCCAATCCCACAGCGTTTTAGGATCATTACAAACCAGGTTTATTCCATTCTCAGTGTGAAATATTGAACAGCATCTCTGCAAGTTTGAGGCTCTCTTGCCAGCGTTTCCCCTCTAAAGGGCCACTTCAGATCTAAATGAACAGATTACAACGGCCTGTTCTGACTGAGAAAATGTACTCATCACCATTAAAATGTGCATATCTAGTTTAAGATTCTTTTGTTCATGTGGTGAATGCAGACATCAATAACAAAATGTTTTAACCAAAAGCAGCATCCTTGTCATGTCAGTGGCTTTGGGATCGGTCTGCCACCAGTGTTAGTTTATGCAAAACTGTGAAGCCAGGGCACGTAATATCAACCTGACAGGTCTGTATTCATAGTCTGTCCATTAGGTGAGACAGGAAAGACTTTTATCTACACATTTTGGATTAAATTATGAAATTAAAAGTCAGAATATCACTCAAAATCTAAAAAGTAATTAAAAAATTATAAAAAGTATTGAAGGATACTTTGATGTGGACATAAATTCTATTGATAATCTAGCAAAGTGTAAAAGGAACTTTTTTATTCATTTTTTAATACAATTATTATTGTCATGGACATCATATTCAGGTCCGTTGTCTCACTGGTAAAGTTACAGGCAGATTGCTACCAAAGAGCAGTGCATGAATGTGCATTAACCTCTCCCTAAAAAGCTGATCTCGCTGTCTCAAGCCAGAGGGACCAAGAGGAGGATAGGAGGCCAGGGGGACAGATCATCATAGAGGGCTGTAAAACACAGGTGGTGTGAGACTGCACAGCACTGTCTGATTTGTGGGTGAGTGACGGCTACCAGCGGAGCAGGGTTGATCCAGCCCATCGGCAGATGCAGCACAAACCAACAAACCCCACCAGACCGCCGCTCCCTCCCTTTCCGACTTCTTACTTTTTCCCCTTTTTGTCTCGGGCATCCTGCGATGGGGCCGTGACAGAGGGAGCCGTAAAGTGTCACACACCGATTCGCTTGAGTCAGTGGGTATCCTGATTTGAGTGGCCTTGTTAGGAAGTGGTATGACAGCGATTCGTCGGGCTTCATTCAGACTTATTCGAACGTGGCATATAGGCGGGAAGAGTTTGGATTTGGATTTGGATTTGTGGTGCATTTAGGAAAAATGTAAACACCGTCAATATCACCCTGACAGTGTTTTTGCAAATGAGCTAAGGGGGAATTGGATCAAACTGCTAAGAGAAATAACAATTCATTTCAAAATGAGGCGACGCTTTTGTCACAGTGGTTAATAAGCGGTGACTCTGGGGTTTGCTGTGCTTTCAATGAGCTCACAATTCATTCACTGTCTCCTGCTTTCACTCACAGAGACCCTTAAAAGTAGACCAAATACTAAATCTACTGTATCCATTTCCTTTTCGTGTCGTTGCCGCAAAGCCACTGAAATCTTTCCCTTTTTGCCTTATACCAAGTCAGGTCTTCAATTTAATTCCCCCCATCTGAGGAAAGCTTGAAATATTAGCCGAGAAATGAGATCCGTGACCCTGAATACAGAGTGTGAAGCAGAACGGGGAGCGGGACGGAGACATGGCCTGATTCTGCGGCTGAGAAGCATGCCTCGGTGTGGAGAGAAGACCCGGATCCCCTCCCCAAGTGGCATCGCTAAATATTTGCCCTCCTCCACTTGACTGTCTAGACACATCCACTCAGCCCCCTTCCCATCACTCGCCTGTTTTGCTCAGAAGTGGCGCTGGCTGGCATGGTCAGCCAGGCAGGGCGCCAAACCCGCGACAAAAAGTTTCTCTTCCCTAGCAGAGGTCATGCAAGTTCAGAAACCTGGAAAGAATGGCTTTTGCATTTTTAAAACCTCTGGGCCGTCATTTAGGGAGTCCCACGCACACTAAGCGAAGGAAAAGGAGGAGAAAAAAAAGCACTGTCAAATGGTCTTTGTGTTTCCCGATGATTTGGAGAAAGGAACCCTCAGAACTCCACGAAGAGTCTCAGTGGACCTCTTTTAGTTACTGCTCCATATTCATTACCTTCCTTTTTTTTTTACAAATTTACATAGTGGGGTTTTAATTGCCTACGATTTAGACTAAAAAGCTAGATGATCGGAGTGAAAGCACCATGCCTCCCAAGGGGAAGATGTGTGAAATCCACTACCAGCAAACCCAACCTGGTAGACACATAAGGACTCATAAGAGCCCTCATTACACTTTACCAGATTATTCCCTCAGCAACCAGCAGAAGTTACATTTTCTCATCCAGAGACAGTCAGAGTCACTGGACTCCCGCAGAATTATGAGCCAGCATTTTTTACCATTTGTTGTATTTGTATATTAAAGTCAAACTAAATATATTTAACTGACTCCTCTTACATGAAAAAAGAGAGCATAGTCACAAATCTTTTAAGTCTACCGCTGGTGAAAACACCCAATTAAAAGATACAACTACACTATTCTTGAAATTTACAGATACAAGATTGTATTCAAATAACATATTCAAACTAGAATTTTTTTTTACCTTGTTTATCTTCAAATATCTTTGAATGTAACCTCAGCTTGTTTGTACCTTTATGTGAGTTCAGGAGGTAAATGTAATAGAAATGTATTTGTCAGTACAACAATGTGTCACAACTATGTTTGGAAGAAGTGTATGGGTCAAATTATTAGAGGCGCCAAAAAGAAAAAGATAAAAAAATCTGAACATTGTGAACTGAGCAGGGCACAGCTGTTGTTGAAAGATGAAGGACGAAAACTGTTTTCTTTGCTGCCTTTTGAGAGAGCAGCTCAACAGACCTTTTTCACTGATAGACAACAAGCTAAACTGCATTCAGTGGATAAAGCTGCAGGAAAATGTGCATCTACTTCTGGGTCATTTTCATCCAAGATATAAGTATTTCACTGGGGAAAATAAGCACGTGTGAAGTAATTAATGCTTTACATGTTCAATCAGTTCTATGCAAGAGGACTGAGATTGTTCACAGAAAACATTTTTACATCTTTAAAAAAAAAAACGTCATTGTGTCGTCATTTGCCCATTTATACAATGATTATGTCATCATGCTTTATAACCACATGCCAGGATTGTATAAATAGGAGTGATAGCAGCGTCCGCATGTCCAAAGCAGCACGGCTGTCTTTGCTGGCTCTCCTTCACACACACATTGGTGCCGGTTTCCTCCACCCAGAGTGCTGTTAACTTTGACCTGTTTTTCTGCCTTGGACCTGAAAAACAGGACATAACACAGTGACAAGGCTGGGCAATCCAACCCATATCGAACAGGAGTTACACCTCCCTCCGAGCTACTGGTGACTACAGCCCAAAACCAAATCTTAGCACAGAGAGATGTGAGCTTACAAGTCTGTGTGAGCACATTTTTACTTAAAGAAGATCAATCACAGCCTTAAACAGTGACATTATTGCTCTGAAAATGAGATATTACATTGCCTTAACACAGCTTATAAATGTATTTTAATGATCGCCCACATTGTGCAAAAGATCACTCAGATATTGCATAGTAGTTGATAGAAGTAATAATATAATCAGAGCGTGACAACACGAAGGAATTAAAAGCTTATTCAAAGGAATATTCAACAAATTTACAAACATCTTTAACATTTAATGTTGCATGCTGAGCTTCCATGTGATGAGGGAGCCAACTGCTTGAGAAGATGAGGAAACATGCCTGGTGCACATGCTGTTTTTTATTTCTCCGTCCTGCCTGGTTGTTCTGGGCTGTGGTTATATTCTGTCACATTAGCACTGGGATAGAGGATATGTTGACAGAGAGAGGACATTGCACATTGAGACTGTAGGGCTCTTCTAAAGCTGGTGGCATTGGTACACGAAGACAAGTGTGCATCTGTGTGTGTGTGTGTGTGTGTGTGTGTGTGTGTGTGTACAGACGTGGAGGGTTGCCTGTGGACTAGAGCATGTGGATGCCCACCCACTCAGCAGCCTCGCGGCACTCGTCATTTCGCATCAATCCACAGCCCCTCAATATAAATAGGACAGGCGTCCTAAAGCGATGCAGTACTATGAGAGGCAATGGCATTATGCACCGACCCTGGACCCCTCAGCTTGAAATATGACTGTGCCAGCTTGTTTTAATGCCGCTTTTCTCCTCACTACTATACCACTCTCTTGCCAGGGTACTACTATGGCAATTGGTTATGAATTAGAATATTTGGGTCCGAAATGAAATCAGTTAAACTAAAAATCTGATCATTTTAAACTTAAACTTGTTCAAAAGTTTTTGAAGTTTTTTTTCAAGTTGCCACTGCACTTTTCTGTGGTTAAAATGAGTTCTTCTTTTTTTATTTGAACATGAAATGACACACAGGAACTTTGAAATGTGACCTTTTAGGCCCCTTTCATTGAGAAAAATTAGACTAAAGTCTGCTCAGTTCAAACTTTGAATTGATCCAAAATCCTGTTAGCATGGGATTCCACCAATAAGCTGTGATCATGACACACAAACTTATTAGAGTGATTCTTTTTTGTGCTTTTTTAGAGGGAGTTTGATGAACATTTGATTAATCTAGCCTTCATTAACGGAAGAGAGTGATCGAAATATTTGAACGCTTGTGTCTGAGCAGAAAACAAGTGAAGGTGGTGCCCTAACATAGATATTAAACTTCCACACCATAGTCTCCCTGTGGCATCACAGAAGCTTCACACTTCATTACTGTAAGGCCAGCGACGTGTGAAGCTATTATCTAGGAGCACCAGGAAAGGCAGTGTGTACATGTACACATGCATGTGTGCGTAATCTTGTATTAGTGGTATAACTATAGGATCTGGGGTAACTAATAAGCACCCTTGCACAAACTGCCTTCCTTATAAATGCAGAATCAGACCACTCACTTGGAAACTTGGTTTGATGTATTCAAACAGCTGGGAGGTGTTGTCTGTTGTCCCAGTGTCAAATGAAAGAGAACGAATAAACATCTGGTAGGGCATTCTTTTTGTTCCACGGCGCTGCTCACAATTATACTTTAACAAACTGACTCTGATGTGCATGTATAGAGCAAATGAAATTAATTACATACTTAATAAGGTTCAAACTACTCTCATGCATCTAAGGGTAAAAACATCTCTATCATAAAAGAAAACAAATCTGTCTTCTACCTCCACCCAGTGGCCAAAGATAGTACCTCCTACAGGTTTATGCATTTATCAATTTATTATGGACCATTAAATGACAACAGCATTATACTTTTTTGTTGAAAGTAATAGATATTTAAATAACTTACAGCAGCTTATGCTGTTTGATATATGTAAGAATGTGTATAAGTAGATCTGATAATGTGTCAGCTTATAACCACGATGAATGGCATCACCATCCACAAATATTTAGCTTTACAAACCATAATCTGACGCAAAGCCTCTCATTCCCAGACTTTTTAAGAAAAGAAGCCCAATCATTATGAATTCATCATTTCGATTTGATATCAACTGCCTCACTTAATGCTCAAAAACAGCAACAGACTACATAATTACCTCTGTAAGTAGCTTACTTCCTTAAGGCAATAAAAAAAAATTACTTTTCCAATCAAAAACTTTCCTAATTGTGGCAGTGCTCCCGGGGCCTGAAGAGACTGCCAATGCTGGACATGCGCACTGCCTGAAATTTTGGCTGCTGAAATCAATTTACCAAGCCAGACTAGCAGCTTGGCAAAGTTATTACAGCCATTTTCATTCAGCTCACAAGACCCGGGTTCATCCAAGCTGTGTTTTTTAATTTGTTATATTTGATTCTCAACAATCTTTTCTCTAGACAGTAAAACCCTGTTTAGAAGGAGAGTTGGATTTTTTTTTTATTTATCCCTACGGGCACATTGTAGTACCATAAATTGATTTAATTAAATAAATCAATTCAGATTGAAAAAATGTAAAAGTATTACTGTGGGTGATGGAATCATTTAACTAAGTAGAGCAAATAATCTATGTTGAGTTTAACCGTCTACATCAGGAAAATAGTGTTCCATCAGGAGATTATTTGAGTAGTTAACATGTCAGATAAGTTAGTTTGAGATATAGCCCAAATGAGAGTTTGGGGTTATAAATAGGAGTCATATATGTATTGATAATAATAATAACTGACTTTAATTCCTAAGAGCTTAAATAATGTACTATCAAGCTGTTTGGAATTGTTCAACACCATACATAAGAATAAAACGTGCTCATGCCACTTGTACCAGAGTAGTGAGTAAAATAAAAAATAACTATTTTATTTTTTCAAACAGGCAATGAAAATGGGCAGTCGAGCGGCAAACGAAAGACCCCAAAGCGCCAAGATGGCGGCGCCCCTGACAGACGCCGGGGAGTTTGAAAGCTGGCTAAATGATCGCTTAGACTCGTTGGAAGTGGATCGCGATGTGTACGGGGCGTACATTTTAGGCATTCTTCAAGAAGAGGAGAACGACGAGGAGAAAGAAGATGCGCTTCAGGGGATTTTATCGGCGTTTCTGGTGAATATCCGAGGCGGCATGTCCTGCTCAGACACCGAGGCTCTCTGCCTGTTAGCGGCTGTCTGTCTTGAGTGCCGGGTGGCACCGAGTCATTGCGCTGATGTCAGCTTTAATTTTTTTTAGCTTGAATTAGCAATAGCTATGTGTCTGTTTATATCAGGTCCACACAACGTAAAGAAAAACTATCGTCGCAATCCTTTTGATAAGATGTACTTTCGTACATCCGGGTTATTGCCTGTGGTTTTAGGAGAATTATGAGAGTTGTCTGAAAGTAAGTCGCTGTTTTATTAGAGGCAGAGGACAACTATCCGTTAATGAGGCATTATGTATCGAGCCCAGTGTTTCCCAGACTGGTCTTCAAGGCACACTGCCCTGGATGTGTTCCAAGTTTCCCTCCTCCAGCCCACCTGACTCAAACAGCTCTGAAGATCTGCAGGAGGCTGATGAAGATCATTCACTGGAGCAGGAAAACTTGAGGGAAACATGACAGGCAGAGCACATTAAGGACCAGGATTGGGTAGTACTGATCTAACCGTATATCTATGTTTAAACTTGCAGGATGAGGATACCATGGAAGATGTCTGCAAGCAGATCATCAAGCAGTGGACAGAGTTTTCAAGGCAATCGGCAGCCAGAAAAAATGCAGATGGTAGTCATTAAATCATTTTGATTTGTTTTCCTTTCTGGTGAATTCTTCTGTGGCAAAATCTAGAATGATTAGTATAATTGTAAGTCCATGCAAAGAAAAAAGAAACACTTTAAATGTCATTCAAAGTTTGAGAATATTCTTTTTTATTTTATTTTGTCAGCCTCAAATCAAGTCAGCACACTCCCAATCTCACTTAAGTTGTACTTAAGCAGAGCTGAGTTTGGCACAGAAAGCACCTCACCTCCAGAACAGTGGCGGGCTTTGTTGGTGGCAGGAACTAACTGTACGTTTTCCCCGTGTTCTGTCTCCCTTCAGCTGAGGTCCAGGCCATCGCCAGTATGATAGAAAAACAGGCTCAGATTGTGGTGAGACAGAAGGAGGTGACCGAGGAGTCCAAGAAAAGAAAGGAGGCCCTGCTCGCTCAATATGCAAACGTAACGGATGAAGAAGAATATCCTTCAGTAATCTACACGCAGGTTCCCAAACACTCCGGTTTTCAGCTCGTTCACTAGACCGAGCCGGTTTGTCTCTGACCAGCTGGAAGCACGTCTCTGTTTGCAGTACAGTGAGGTGCCAGCACTTTCCTTAACAAGCTCACTGAAGCTGAAGTGGAGGAGCCAGCGAATGGAAATGACTTCCCCACAAATGACAAGTGTATCCTTTCATCCCCGTCATAAAAAGCTGTTTTTATTGTTGATAATCTGGCTGTGTTACAGTTCCACTCCACTGTAGAAATGGTTGTATTGACAAATTCTCAGAGTACTTTTGTTTTAAAGCACTTGGCCTTTACTCAGAGCTCAGCCTTGTTCAAGAACACCAACGTTGAGGAGGTGCTCAACAGACAAAAACAAAAGCGGGATCAGGCCCGTGAGGATTCCCAAAAGAAGAAGGAGGGGGACAAGATGCAGCGAGAGAAGGACAAACTAGCCAAACAGGAGAGAAAAGACAAGGAGAAGAAGCGTACACAGAAAGGTGAACGCAAAAGATAAGAGCGGAGAAAGGACAATTATTTTTCTGTGCAAGGTTTTGTTATTTGAACAAATGAAATTCTAAAACTGGTCTTTGCCGGTTCATCATTCAGACTGGCCTTGTTAATTACTGCCTGGATCCCAGGTAGTTCATTTCCTTATCATTTGAGAACAATGTCCCTGAACAAAACCTTTAGGAGATGACAGATGTTTACTGTCAGGCTTCTGCTTGTAAAATAAATGAACTTCCAATACATCTCACTGTGTTGGTTCATGTTAATGCCCACTGTTTCTACACAGCCTCTGAATAGCAGGGAATCCTCCCCTTGGTGTTACTTAACCTCAGGTATACATGACACAACCATGTAAATGTTTGTGTAATCTTTCAATAAAAAAATAAACGGCAGTTTTGTTACGTTACTTTATTCTTAAATCTTGTGCTCACAGAACAAGTAGCTAGAAAAAAGTAAAACAGGAACTTTAAAATGACAAATAGTTAATGGAACAAGCTTCCTCATAAGACCCAGTATTAAAGCCAAGTGCTCATACAAAGGCAACGTAGAAACATGCTCCCACAGTTGTTACCAGGATTAGCTCCCTCACAGTCACACTTCACTGATAACGTCTGTTAGCAATCTAAGCTCTACTTCTACATTTGAACAGTGACATTTTACACTTTTCCAAACTTAAATGTTCAATAATTAAAACAAAGATGATCAGAGTTAACAGTGGGAGGCTGTATCTATCAGAAACACAAACATTTCAGTATGGATCATTTTATATGCTCGTAATGTTGCACGTCATAAGACTACAGAGCACTGACCCCCCTTTAGACATTTCTATATTACAGTTCACTGATATGGCATTAAAACTATTTCAAATGGTTGTGTGATTTATATTTAAATGTTCAGAATATTGGTACATTTCTAATGGAACTACAGATTAAAGAAAAAACATGTGTAACTACAGAATGTTAGGATTACATGAGAAAAACAGAATAGCTGAATTGATTTGAACCTTCAGAAAAAAATTTAATACTTAACATGTTAATTTCAAACTACTGCCGTTGGTGACTCAATTATTGCTTGGGAATACCTAGAACCCAGGTTCAATCATATTCCAATAAATAATTAAAACGAAGAATTCAGTGAAATCTTCTACATAAATAGTGTCTTTAAATACAACAATGATGGTACAAGATTCATGTTGATTTGGAGCTGACACTAATTAAATGAAATTAAGTTAAGATGCAGAAGGGGAACTTAAATTTCATGCTATTCTGGCACCATAAAAAAACCTCTTTAGTGCCCGAAAATCGGTCATCATCAATCCTCAAGATCTCTAATTGTCTGCAGTGATCACTGCTTTGCAGATAAAATGTCGTACTGACCTAAAATAATGTCATACCACAGGAACGTTTACTTCTACCACCTTAATCAAAACCTTTAACTCATACTTTTATTCTGCTACTTCATAACCAAAAAGAGTAACCCTGAAATGGGGTGGAGCAGCTGTCTGTGCACGTGACCTCCTCGTAAACGTGGTGGTCCTGCTTCTTGACAGGTTTAGGCAGTGTCATCTGGAGGGCACACCACAGAGCGGAGCACAGTCTCCTGGTTGTTGCAGCCAGGTCTTTCAGCGCCATCACCATCAACAAGGTGTCTTTAAGGACAGAAACACATTAAAACCATGAATATCTCAAAAGAGAAAAGCCTACAGAAAAGCCTGACTTCATTTCCATTCTCAGATGTACTATCTATAAAAGACTAAGCTCAGAGACAACAGCATATAAACAGCATTTTCTCAACACCTTATCCTAATGAGGTACTTTTCTGAAAAAGCATTTAAATTAGGACATGCCCATCTAACTTTATACACACAACATTATGACTTGAACTGTCTTGTACATGAGATATGCTAAACAAATAAAACTTCCCTTGCCTATAATTGCATAAGGTAACATAATGTTGGCATAAACTATTAATCAGAATATGCTTAGTAACATGTATAACATGTAAATGGAAGGTCTCATCTGAAATCCATTTACAAACTCAACAGCTGGAATCCTGCTGTGCATGTACACCTAGCTAAACAAACATAAAGTACCTCTGTCCTCTGTGAAATTAAACCCCTGCTGCTGGTGTTTGGTCATATTGGCACAGTCCTTGCACCGTGCCTGCATGATACACACAGCCATGTGATGGCTTTTCAGCGCGGTCTGGATGTTGATGTGCAGAGGTGTGCCCGAGACACACTTCATTCTAACCAGAAGGCTTGCCACCTGGAACACACAACCATTAACTTAGTAAAGCATTTTCTTCAAACTATTTTCTCATTTAACCTCCTTAAAATTGTCCATGTGCCTGTGCAAGACATCTGTAAAAATAATAAAAATAACGGTCATCTATAATAAAGGCTCACTGTAAATTGACAAAATCCTGCAACCATGTTGTTGTTGAGTGTGCTACAGCACATCCCAACCTCTTGAAAATGAGGTACGTATGATCTTTGCTTTTTGTGTGGTTGTTTGTCTCTATTTGTCTCGAGAATACAGCTGTGACAAAACTCTCCTGTAGGTGGTGGTGTTTAAGCAATGAAGGTTGGGCTTTTACCTTTGCTTGTTCTCTCATGTGATTGACAATGAGGTGGTCAGTTCTTGTAGGATTTGGAGGGGTTTTGGGTAGGTTTGTGCTGGTCACAGCAGTAGTCCTTCTCCCTGGAAATGTTTTTCTAAGAATGACCTCTGTCTACATCAGAAATAAAAACAAGAGAATTAACCTAACAAATACATCACAACAAAATGTTTGTAACATGTATTTCAGACTTAGGCGGTATGACTGGATGGGATCTTTTTTAACACCTATTGACCAGTAAACCATAACTATAGTCAAAGACATAAAGTATATGGTTTTTGTATTTATTTGTGTCTGAGACGTTTATGAGGCATTAAGCAAAAACCTTTTAAAAATGTTTTGAAACTACGACATAGACACAGGCCTATATCAAATGCACTGTGCTTTAAATTTGTGCAGATTTAACTAAAGTTGTATTCCTATGTATAACAAATCTACATTGGTAAAACAAATACAAATACATCGAAATGTAAAAGATCTCTGACAATACTGTTAATTATTACCTGACTTACTGTATGAGAAAATCAGGTTTGAAAAACATACCTTCTTTCTCTCCCTCTCCAAACACCTCCACTGTTCGTAGCACTCGTCCAGGTAAAAGTAGAGCTGGATTACAGGTCCTCCTTGATTCATCATAAGCGATGGTGACAGGGCTGGGGCCATGCCATGATACGTCTCCCCTCTGCAGACCCTCATGTCACTGACGTAAGCGCTGAGAGCTGCAGCCTCGTCCGCTGACACTAAACCATTCATGTCCATCACAGGGACACCATTTCTTTGGGACAGTGTAGATCTAGAGCTGAAATTGGAATTAATGGGCATGCTGGACGCCGTCTTGAGGTCATTCATAGGATACATGAAAGGCCTGAACTGCTGCATATTTCCTGCACCGGCCATGCAATTTTCTTCATGTCTCTGAGATTGGGTATTCCCCTGGAAACTGAAGTATGGGTTTTGCGAAAAGGGCAGTTTCTCTGTCTCTGTCATGTGATTGCTGGTTCGCTGCCTCCGAGAGATGCCTTCCAGAAATCCAGACATATGCGTTCTCTTTTTTTCTTTTGGCAGCTGTGGCTTGATCTTTTTATTCATCTGGCTCTGTTGCATGCAGTGTTTTGAATACTGGTTCATTAGATTGCTGTTGTCTCTGTTCATTGTGATCTTGTTCGTGTGATGGTTTGGGAGGGTTACAGATGCAGAAAATGCCTTTGGTTGCTGAAAATAGTCTGTGATGTGAGGGCTAAAATCAGGAAGGTCTTGAAAGGCATCGAGTTTGAAAGTTTGATTCCTAACGCCTCCATTTCTTACTTTCTGCATTGAACCCAGATCTCCCAGAAGCTGTTTTGGGATCTGCATGGAAAGAGCACTTTGCGTTGACATTGCAGGACTTGGCATTTTCCATTGTTCTGTCATATAATCTTCATTATGCATGCCCACTGTCTGCTTGTGCACGTTTGGAAACTCTCCATTACACATCGTATCATTCTCATAAGCCATAAATGGATGGGAACTGCTTATTAACTGGTTCATGTCCTCTGGAAAATACTGCTCATTGCAAAATGAATTCCCATTGTTTTGGATGTAGTGATCTGCATGGAAGGCATCCAAGCAGGAATTGTTCATTTCATCTTGGGGTCTAAAGATGTCAATGAGCTCAGGGAAATTACTCACTGGCCGATCATTCCCCTTGTCATTATAATCTGACATGCGAACATATTTACTCTGTTGACTCTGATATGGGTCAGTTGCTACAGAGTTGGGTATTGATAGACCAGGTGGCAGTTTCTGAGGTTGAAAGGATTGACTGTCTCCATCAGGCAAATTAAAAGGCCACTGTTTAGTAGCAAGGCCACCAGGATGTTGGCTTAGCTCTTCAACCTCTTTGTCTACAGACTGTTGCTGTGCTCTGGTGAAAATCTCACGGGACGCATGGTTCGAAGGAAACAAAGGGTTATGGTTCATTTTAGCCTCTGATTGAAAATACTGAAGGAATTCCTCTCTCAGTGTCTTTGGAGACCAGATGGTATTGCATGTAGGAAGGCTTTAAAAGAAAATTGAGAAGTTAGTTTAATGTTGGCACTGATAAACCTAATATGTACTGTATTTTCAGATTGTTATTTTACTTTGCTACAGCTAGGCATGGACTAGTCTCTGGTGTAAAGTCACAATTTCAAAGCCATTATAAATTTCAACCTTATTGTCCTGCAACCAAGGCTCTTTGTGACAGAGAATTAAAACGCAAAGATACTAAGCTCTGTGCTCCAGAGTCATACTTCCTGTCTTCTTTCAGTTAGTGAAAGAAAATGTCAAGTATCTATGATGACTAAAATGGGAAGACTCCCAAACTACAGACCTGTGACATATTTGCTTAAATATTCGTGCCAATTCGGATACTGGCCCATGCCTAGTCACAGCAATACAAGTCCATCCCTGATTGCGTAAGAGACAAGTGTAAAATAAATAAAGAAAACTTACCTCTCACTATAGTAGCTATCCCCAGACCCTGCTTCATCCAAAATATTTGAAACTAGACCCTGTAGATCTTCTTCACCATCACAGTCAACAGTATCATTTGGCTTGCTTAAAAGATAAAGAGAATATGTTTACAAAACTGAATTCCACCTCTTTAGACGTTAAAAATGGATGAGTGAAAACATGTGTGACACAGTTAATGAAAGTACCTGTTTTTATTGGGGGTCTGGATGCAACTAATAAGTTCATAGGGATCATCCTGAGTATTGTGAGACCAAGGAATGCAGGACACATTGTCCTGCTCCTGATGTGAGGAGCCTGGGATGGAAACAAAAGGCACTGGAACACTTCCTCCATTTATACCACCTCCATTAATCCCTGTCTAAAAGACAAAAAAGCAAAGCAAATTTATCAGTCTGCTGTTCATTTGAAAATAAATGTTATGTATTACATAACATTAAGTATTATTTCACACACAAAACTTCGAAGTACAGCTGCAAACCTGTTCAAAACAAAAACTGAGTGACTCATTCTATATTCAAAACTTCAGTGCTCTTATCCATCCGTGTCAAGAAGTATAACTCACACTGTGTAGTCACATCACTAAGCTTTGGCATTAGCCATCAGTTTGGGTGCATGGGGGATTACAAGTGTCAGACCAGTGAACAAAAGTGATTGAAAAGAACTGTGCTTTTTAAGTAATTATTCTTAATTAAACAGTTAGATTTTCAATTCTCTCGCTACAAACTCTCAATTTAGATCCAACTTAGTGAAATAAAAGTTGTGCTTTGTTGTGTTTTGTGTTGACTAAAATATTAACCGCTAATACTCTAGCAATATCTTATTCTTTTTTTTTCTTGTAGCCTACTTAGTAGAAATAAAATGTCCTTTCTTGTTTTGTTATACTTTTTCTATCTAGCACATGCTTATACAAGATGGTAGACAATTCTGTGAAAACAGTCTTAGCAAACATTAGTGGAAATTTCAAACTAAGCAGCTCTGGTTTACCACAAACAACAAATCGAGTTACCTCTAATGTCTATCCTTATGATCCTAATCTAATCGAATCTGATCTAATTTATCCAAGTAGTGTTTAAAAGGACGTTTCCCTGTAATACTGTAGGCAGACACTTAAAATATTCTGAAAAAGATAGGGAAAATATTTTAAAATACTGTTGAGGGTGTGAGTAAAAATCTAAACGCAACATTTCAGTTGATATGGTATTTAATTTGTAGATATCGTTCTATGTTATATATATAATGAATTATTATTGACAAGAAGGATATCAAATTATTTTTTTCAATCTTTACTTTTAATTAAGAGAAGACTTTAAGAGGTGGCGAAACTAATCAATACTTTTTTATAAGTGGATATTTTCTCTATTATTTCAATGGGGCATTCTGTACCATTTCTGAGGAGTTTTTTAAAAAGTGTCAACTATTCTTCATAGTAATATAATTCAAATAACTTGTGAGTTACAAAAGTAAAAATAAGATAATTGTAAAATGTTAAATAAATGTATCCAACAATAGTAAACTGACAAGTGACATCATTTTCTGCTGTTTAACCCAATAGCTTACGTGTTGCCATACTAGGCAGTTTCCCTCTACCATTTTGTCCTTTTTACAAAACTTTTACAGCTATTCAATTGAGTTAATTAATGCCATAATAAATTAAAACCAGAAATCATGGTCAATGCGGTTACTTACCTGATGCTGGTATGTCTGAAAAAGGGAATTTACAAATGTACTCTGACGCCCGTCGAAGGCCATTCTGAACTCGGATCAATTCTTTAGGACGCCATTATTTGTCTACAAAAGCACGAAGAATGACTTGTTAAGAACATATTAACCGTATACAGTATTTAACGCAGGGACTTTGATTGTATAAAATTTAGCTACTACTTTTTTTTTTTTAATCTACAAGCTAGCTTACCCAATGTAACAAGACGTTAAGTCAATTGCATTAATTTAGCAAGTTTTTATGCTGCTTTGGCTAGCTTATACGCGGTAAACTTATCCTTATGTTGACATTTAGGTCACTTTTCCTTTAGTCAAGTTATCCGAGCAATATTAACCGTCAAACACCTAGGAAACCTACCTTAAATCAGTTTCAGAAAAATGTCAGACTTTTTTCTTTTCGATAAAGTCAGGTCAGTTATACTCCAAAGCAAAGGAGCCCCCCCCCTCTTTAAGATCTAGCTAGCGTGCGAATCTGGCCTCGCGACCTTAACGCCCATTGGCTGAGAGGTAAGAATTATTGTTTTTGTCCAATTATCATTAGGCAGGAGATTTCGGCGCATAGCAACATCTGGTGGTACTCCATCCCCCATGTTTCTGAGACACAGGTGTCGCTGGTACGGGTCACGCCTTCAATTTAGATGACTTATATGTAAATATTATATTAGAATTATTATCATATAATAATAATAATTATAATAATTATGGTAATCATTAGCAGTAATAAAATAAGAAATAGTTGCAGTAATAATATTCAATTGTATTTTTACATATTTTACTATGAAATTCAACTTATTTATAGTTATACTCGGCTTCTTAACTCAACTCACTTGGACTGGTTATTATCTATCAATTACACTGACATGATAGAACCACAAACTTTATTACTTGAGTCACTGATAAACATTAGGGACGATCGGCAATGACATGGACATCAAATTACATAGAGTGGGTGAGTCTTCTTGGGCTGCTCAAATCCAGCTGTTAAGTCAAGTTTAACCATGAGAACAAAATACGAGCCCACAGGAAGCATTCCCGTCAAAGTTAAAGAGTGTGTTACAGCCCAGCCCGTTTGTAAAGCTCACCTTATATCAAAAGTTGTCGCAATTTTCTTTATTATAATCAGTTCAATGTTTTTGTTAAGTAGTCGCCAAAGTCTCTGACTCCTAATGAAGGTTATTTTTACGTTACGTCTGGCGTCTGGGTTATTATTCTGAAACGTTTCAGCGAGGGGGGCAGCCTCTCATTGTGATCTGCCTCTCTGACATTGATGAGAGAATAGGACTCGTAGAAAGAAAAAAGTCAGCCATCCCGTAGCGTGAGAGCAGACAGAGTGAAAAGTGAGCGGTGGTCGGATCTCCACAAGCACGGCTCACTCTGGCGGATTGTTTTTTTGCGGAGCGACTTCGATTTGCAACAATCCGATCGCTACTTTTGCTCGGAAAGATGACTTTTTGGTTCGGCTCTTTTTTGCTCCTGCTGCCTCTCCAGATTTCAGCGCAGTATCACGGAGACAGCGGGATCGTGATCCCGGAGCATGGCTTTTGTCAGCCGATCTCCATTCCGCTGTGCACGGACATCGCCTACAACCAGACCATCATGCCCAACTTAGTGGGACACCACAACCAGGAGGACGCGGGGCTGGAGGTCCACCAGTTTTACCCGCTCGTGAAGGTACAATGTTCGCCGGAGTTGAAATTCTTCCTGTGCTCCATGTACGCTCCCGTGTGCACGGTTCTGGAGAAGGCCATTCCCCCCTGCAGGTCCATCTGCGAAAGAGCCAAGCAGGGCTGCGAGGCTCTCATGAACAAGTTTGGCTTTCAGTGGCCGGATCGACTCCGCTGTGAGAACTTTCCTGTCCTGGGGGACGGACAGATCTGCGTGGGGCAAAACGACTCTTCTTCTGCCACTGTGCCCCCCATCGTGCCTGTCCAGGGCACCCAGGACATCCCCATGGTCTCCTCCTTTGATAAGCTTTTCCGCTGTCCATCTGTTCTCAAAGTTCCTCCCTATTTGAATTATAAATTCCTACAGGAAAAGGACTGTGCAGCTCCCTGTGAGACCTCGAGGAACGGGGGCAGCATGTTTTTTAGTGAAAGAGAGATTCATTTTTCACGCTTATGGATTCTGGTTTGGTCTGTGCTTTGCTGTGCGTCAACATTATTCACAGTAACCACTTACTTGGTTGACATGCAACGCTTCAGATACCCTGAACGACCCATTATCTTCCTGTCTGGCTGCTACACAATGGTATCCATCGCCTACATAGCTGGCTACTTCCTTGGGGACAAGGTGGTGTGCAATGACAGGTTTACCCCCGATGGCTTTAAGACCATTGTTCAAGGGACCAAAAAGGAAGGTTGCACCATTCTCTTCATGATGCTCTATTTCTTCAGTATGGCCAGCTCCATTTGGTGGGTCATCCTATCTCTCACTTGGTTCCTGGCAGCAGGTATGAAGTGGGGCCATGAGGCCATAGAGGCCAACTCTCAGTATTTTCACCTGGCTGCCTGGGCGGTTCCAGCCATCAAGACGATCAGTGTCCTGGCCATCGGGCAGATTGAAGGGGATGTGCTAAGCGGCGTCTGCTTCGTGAGTCTCAGCAACCTGGACCCTCTGCGGGGATTTGTGTTGGCCCCTCTCTTCATTTACCTCTTCATCGGCACCTCTTTCCTGCTGGCCGGCTTTGTGTCCCTGTTCAGAATACGCACCATCATGAAACACGACGGCACCAAAACGGAGAAGCTGGAGCGACTTATGGTGCGCATCGGGGTGTTCAGTGTGCTCTACACCGTTCCGGCCACCATCGTTATCGCATGCTTCTTCTATGAACAGGCTTTCCGGCCCCACTGGGAGCGCAGCTGGATCGGTCATGACTGCAGGAGCTTGGCCATTCCCTGCCCTTTGCATGCCGGACCCCACATGACCCCAGACTTCACCGTCTTCATGATTAAGTACCTGATGACGCTGATAGTGGGCATTACATCTGGTTTCTGGATCTGGTCTGGAAAGACTCTGCACTCCTGGCATAAGTTCTATACGAGACTGACCAATGGCATACAGGGAGAAATGACTGTGTAGAATAAAGCAGCATTCGTTGTCGACGAACAACCTTTTTTTGTATTATATGACCTGTCGCTCATGTAAAATGTAAACTATTCGTACTGGCCTCAGCTTTATACTTTTAAATGCATACCAAACAGGACGTTAGGCTTTTACAGTAGGAAAAGCTGGATGCACATTCACTAAATATAACTGGATGAACTAATAGCACAGAAATACCTGATGCAGCAGGCAACCAAAAACACAGAGCAAAGAAGGGTTTTCTCTCTCTGTAAACATTTCATGTACATTTTTATGAAAATGTAAATAGCCTTTGTACAAACAACAAATTATATATTTGTATTTAAAAAGAAAATACGTATCTTTTTCCGCCATTGTACCTGCTTTACTAATGCACTGTCTGACCCCTCAGTTCCAGCTGCGTATTTTTTGTTCTGTCATACTCTGTGTAGTATAATAGTCCTTTGGATGACACTCTGAAATCCTGTTGAGATCTAACACATTGTGCCTCAATTTGTTTTTACCCAAAGTCCGTTTATTCTATGCATTGTGTGCAAATATCATCAAACAGCTACAAATCCTATTTGTAGTAACGTCTCCTGTTAATCACCCAACACCTCAATGTATTTAAAGAGATTTCACATGAAACTGGTCCTAACCTGTGTGTTGCAAAGGCTTCTGTATCACACTTTTACCAACATCCCATACGAGCTAAACAGATCAAGACACTATTTTCTGCTTGTTGTGATCATGGGGAGAAAAGTCTGCTGTGTATGGATTTAAAATGTTGAGGCCTGCCTGTCTGCCGAGGGGAAAACAAAGATCCTCACACTTGGTGTGGTGTTACATCTTTGAAGCCCCTCTGCTTTGTGCCAATGTGGAATCCCCCAAGCGTGGCTCTGCTGAAACCGAGGCTTCTGCACACTGATGTCATAAAGTAGACGGATGCGCTGGTGAAAGTCGATCCTCTTGCCTCAGAGCAGAAGCTCTGGGCTCAAACCAGGCATCCGAGAGCGACACGCACATACCTCAGTGTATGAGCATTTATTATATAGTTAGATCACAAGTTAAGATATGCTCAGACTTCCTATGTAAAACTGGACTGTTCCCTGGCTTTAAGGAGCACACAGTGTAGCCTTACAACTCGAAGACTAATTTATTTACCTCCTGACCTTTTGGACAGGTTGATGTTGTTTCTCTACATGCAGAAACAGGGGTTAAATAAAGATGGCTTGTAATAACAGACAAGTTGGAGTGATTAAAGGTAAGAGCAGATACTCAGAAGGGGTAAAAACCATAAATCTAGCAGTGCTTCAGCTCTGCTCCGTAACCCCCTCTGCCTCCTTCCCTATCTTCACTAAGATTAATGGGGGGGGTGGGGGCGCGAGTGAATCATTGGAGCGGCGCTGGGCCTTTGCCTAGTGACAGACAGTCTCCTGCGAGCAGCTCACTTCAAAGCACCGCAGAAATCTGACTGGCTCCTTGTAAATAGTGCCGCCTGGCCCGAAGGCCCACTTCCTGCGCTTAACTCAACTTAATGGCTGGCTTGTTTGGCTTTGCATTGAAGCAGAGAAGCAAATGGAGAGCAAAGGAGAGAAGAGAAGTGGCCTGTGGGTGGGGTGCTGCGGAGAAGAGAGGGATTTTTTTTTTCTGGCTATATAAGAGGAGGGTCTTGGAGACCATAATGGAAAATTCAGCATTATTTCGGCTGCTTTCGTCTCGCTCCAAAAGAGCACTACAAAGAAAGGAAGCAAGGCATAATACAAATCAGCTGACACCTGAATGTGATTCTGTGAATAATGTTGGAAATAAAACTTTGGATCAAATAAAAAAGACTCAAATGTTGTGACTAACCCAAAGCATGATGTAAAGTTGATTATGTTCTGCAGCCCTTCTTGAGTACTATCACCACATTTGATAGTGAGCTTTAACAGAAGTAGGATATTGTTAAATATCCGTGAGATACCTTCTAAAACCTGTTTAGGTTAACATGAGGCAGCAGCCTGCCCACATTCTGCTCTTTTGATATTTTTTGCCCCCCTTTTTTCCAGTGTCAGTCCTCTCCCATGCTGTTGATTTCAGATCTTAAATCTTGCATGCAGCAGTTTCCTGCTTGCTCGAGGGCAAGAAGGGACAAGCCAAGGATAGAGGGTAAGACAGGAAGAATGCTTCTCGAGTTCATATTTGGATGTCGCTCTTATTAAAAGAAACTCTTGGCATGTCAGAAAAAGATCATGTTTGTAACTCACCAGCGAGTGTGTACTCTGGAACTGAGTGCAGCCCTTCTTTGATTTTGTGCCAGTAAAATAGGTTTTTTTTTTACTTTTGGAAAATTATTGAAGCCAATGAAGGGGGCTTCAAACAGACAAAGGACTGAAAAAAGGGGAGCATGGTTTAAAAAAATCCAGACATGGAGCCTGTTTCTAATCAGATCTTGGCACGAGCTCAAGAAGAACTCACTCTCTAAATGCTGGATTAGTTACGGTCATACATTATTCTAACCATAGGAGAGCAGCTGAGTTTTTCCAGATCACATATTATATCTCTCTTGGTTCCATGAAATCTCAAAAGAAAGAGCAATATGTTTTTGTCTTTTGGCTGTTTCGTTGTCAGTGTTTTCAGAAATTGTCACTGCATGTGAAAGGAAACCATTCACAATTCACAGAAAACCATACTCTCTCACATTTCACCTTCCATTTATTTTATCCAGAAGCCTTCATTCAATCATTTTCTTAATGTTTTTTAGTCCAGCCTTTTTGCTTAGTCGAAACCAACAACGTTTGCTTGTTAAAGGTGCATTCCAATGTAAAATCTTACTTATTATCATCATTATCTGGATGGTTCCTTTCACCCAACCAACTCCTCTTAAATGACATTTGCCACAGTAATTGAATCTACATTTGCTGATTGTGTTAAAAATAGTGTAGTCATTCATCTATCCACGCATTTATTTCTAGTAGGGTCACTGGGGGCTGGAGGTGGTTCAGAGGTGGACAAACCCTGGAAAGGTCAGTCCATCACAGGGCCACACACAAACAAACAAGACAGGCAGCCATGCCCATTCACTCCAGAAACCAGGAGCCTTCTGGCTGTTTTGTAGAAACAGCGGAGTGAAGATCAACTCACACATCTTCATAAATGTGTAATGTTTCTTGGTCATTTTAACGTCTCGTGCACACTGTGTTGCTCCTAAATGCACAAACCAAACAGCGGAGGCTTTGACAAGAACAGTAACACAAGAACCTTTTTAAATTTATTGTAGGATGTTAGGGTTGTCTTTTTTGGTCCAAGCCTCCACGGCTTAATAGCAAAAACTAGGGGTGATCCTTCAGAAGCTTTCTCACTGCTCAGTAAAGAGTCCCAACAGCTGCACAGCAGATATGCAAACCCACAGCACTGACAGGATGATAACAGCTTTAATTGGGACGAGTGCGTGTGAAGAGAAATGGTGAGCGTGCATCCAAACACCACAGAGTATACACAACCATTCCACTCTCATGAGCTTGTGGGTGCTGGTACACGTGGGAAATGATAACAAAAGACTCAGGCAAGAAAAGGGAACAGCAGACTATTTGTTGTCTGACTTCAGGATGCAATTCGTCTACCGAAATCTTGATCAGTTTTTTGTTTCTTTTTTATGTGAAAATGAGGATCCACATGAAATGTAATATAGATCAAGCAGGACATTCAATTTAAAGAGGGTTGGAAATAGTTTGGGGTCCTATGTAAATATAGATAAAATGTGCAATGTCCTTCTATTACAATTAACTTTTTCTGGCGCTGTGTAGACGGCTGCCTCTCCAGTATCTTCTGGTAACCTTAATTTCCTGAGGGAGTCTTCCCAAGGGATCAATAAAGTTCAGTCTAAGTCTTCAGTCTAAGTCTAAGTCTTCTTCACGAACACACTTTGACTGACATCTCCTTAAACTCTGCTCAACATATATCCTGAGCAGTCTTAATGCCTGCAACTTTATTGCTGTAAACTAGTATAATGATAATTCTAAGATGCTATATCGATCACCTGAAAGTCCAGGTAAACAAAGCCTTCTACGTAGAGCGGGAACCATCCCCATCGGGCTTCATGAGCACCACTGCAGCCCGATGTTCAAGCAGGACTTATTTTGCTGGCTCCTCTCTGGCGAGCACTGGCCCCTCCGTTTTAATGGAGGCCCTCTTAACTGCTCTTTCTAAGGAATTTACAGCCTTAGCCCCACCTCACTACAGTCCAAGAGATGGAAGGCGGGGAGGAAAGCACACTGCAGCCTTGTCCCGACAGAGCCAGCTGTGGAAATCTACAGCTTCAGGCAGGGTGGCGGAGGAGCTCCTGTGTGATTTTACATCAGACCATCTGTTCGTTTGTTTCTTTGGATTCCCCTTTATGACTGAGGTGAAATGTATGCTTCAATGTACAAAACCCAAACATATACGCTAAAGACAACAGCAGGGGAATGATACTGTTCTTCCATCACAAAAGCTGTCACTTTTTAAAGTAAAACCAGATCACTGATTCAATTATCAATAAGCTTTGAGATGTCTTTAATAAACTCACGTTACCAGTAGCAACCAATGCATGTCAACATAAATTTTTAGTGTTTCTATGCTTATATTGATATTGATAAGTTGGTTCTATCAATCTCTGCGTTGCTTATGTCGCTGTGTATAAAACTAAAGCAACAGAGAGGTGGTTAGGCTCCAGTTCTGTACGTTCTCTCTGTAATTTCACTCTCTGCGCAGCATAATTGCTACCATGTGGGCCCTCACCGACAACAGAATGGTGGAGGGGCCTCTCTGCAAAGGTGGGAGTAAAACACAGACACATGCAGGCTCACGGATTTCCTGGTAGAAAAAGGGCTTCAAATCCTGATGTGACTAATGTAACAGACATCTCAGGCTTTTCACTGTCACTTTAAAGCATGAAAGAACGAAAATAGAAAATGGGCACTACTTTTTATCATGCTGTATCAAACCACAAATGTGTAATGTTTCAGTCTATTCTGCTGTAGAGAGGGTATCTTATTATTATGGGCTTACTTTTTGTGAGATAGCGGGAGGTTCTGTATGCCTGATTTTAGCCCATCACCAATTTCCTTGAGCGGTATTAGGAGGTTTGTGGTTCCCGTTTTATGTGGAGCTTTGCGGCCATTCCAGCTACACATGTTAAGTTGGCTGGTATGCCCTGGGGACAGCAGGACCAGACAGTCACGGTCAATGTGTGAAACCAATGGAGCAAAAAACAACAGGACCTCTTTCACCACAAGGTCAGCTTTTAAACACTCTTCTGCTGGGCTCATTTGCTCGTTGAACCACGGGGAGGAGAGTCCTTTGACAGATGTTTTCTTCATTGTACGGGTCACATATTCATATCTTCACTGAAACTGAAAAAAAAAAGCCTACTATCATTTTTTCTTTATTTTACATTTTTAACAAAATGGCAAGTGGCATTTATTTATTTTACTGTAGTCAACATTACCCCCTGGTGTTTTATGTGTGTATTACAACAAAATACAGAGATGAATGCTGCTAATTGCTCAACAAATGCCAATCCCATGACAACGAATAACTACTGGGTTTCCAAGTAGCTGTGCATGAAAGCATGTGCAGCTGTAAATGCTGACAAAACCTTTAGCTGGAATCATAACAATTCCAGTAAGTCTTTGCAGAAAAGTACATCAGAACTCCACTTAATGAGAACTATGAGCAACTAAAAGGCAACTCAAAGGTAGAGCAACATTTAGTAGAGTAACACCATGTAGAAAGTACACAGATATTGACAGAGTGAAATACATTGGATGGAAAAAAAACATGAACTTTTACCTAGGCAGTGAACTCCACCAAGGGCCAGAGTTTACTTTCCCATGAGTCAAAAGCATGATTGGGTGACTAGAAACCCCCAGGGGAGAAAGGTTTAACTATAAACAAGAGATGTGATGAGTGCACAGGATATGCTGCCTTCAAAATTAAATAATAATCAGACGATTTAGAAGACGGCAACCTAATCTGAAGCATAAATCATGAGTTTCCTATCCCGCATTCACTCCTGCACTCATAGATCATCTTTATGCAACCTAAAATATTTACAAAAGGGGCGTCCATAGGACCAGATTTTGATAACCCTGAATGGGCATCTTTACCTGAACGGTAACTTTTTACTACTTTGGAAAAAGTTTACTTTACATTTACTTTCAAATGAATGTAAAATGACTAAAGTAGTGGCAATTACCCTAAGCCATCCTACAAAAACCATCCACCTCTTGACTTAATATATTTGGATTTGGAGCAAAAGTTTGGACCGTGAGCCTATCAGGACTTTACTGTGAAAGGAAAAGCCCTCTCTGTTGGTCGCTTGACATTCAGGATGTTCTCTGTCTGCCTAAAAACCGTCGGTCAGCAGCTCAGTGGGAGCCGATATCTGTGACAGCGACACACTTTTCACTACTTTTCTGCAGCTGAAGGATTGTTTGTAGAGCGATGCAGACTTTTTGGTTTTGGTCTCTTTTGTTCCTGCTGCCTCTGAAGATATCAGCAAGACATTATGGTAGTAACAGAATGGAGATCCCTCAACCTTGCCAGCAGATCTCGGTGCTACTGTGTAAGGACCTGGCCTACAGCCAAACCATCCTGCCCAATTTAGTCGGACAGGACAGTCAAGAGGAGGCAGGCCTCGAGATTCAGCGCTTTTACCCACTCATTAAGGCACAGTGTTCGCCAGAAATCAAACTGTTCCTGTGCTCCACGTATTTACCGGTTTGCACTATTTTGGAGACGGCAATTCCTCCCTGCAGGGTATTCTGCGAGAGAGTGAAGCAGGGCTGCGAGGCTGTCTTAAAAACGCTGGACTTTCAGTGGCCGGATCGACTCCGCTGCGAGAACTTTCCTGCTCTGGAAGATGGACAAATCTGCGTGGGACACAACGCATCCACCACTGTGCCCCCCACCGTGCCCCCCACTCAGCCAACCATGTTTCTCCCACAGATCCACAGGGCAAGCGATGGGAACTCCAGCTCTTTCCAATGATCCAAATGATTTTGCTCCCAAGCCACATCTCTTTCTGTAGCCAACTTTCAATTTTGCAAATATGTATAAACAGATAGGAAAATATATGTAGGATAGATTGTTAACCCTATAATGTCATATCTATCATATGGTTTATGAAATGTTTTGCATCTGAGACCTTTTGCATCAAAACCCAATAATTCTAATATATTACAGGGTAATAAATTATTACTTTTCAAAAACTCTGTTTTCTGTATATTTTGTTCAAATAAAGACTTCAAAAAGAAAATCTCTGTCATCATCAGGATTCTTTCCACTGGGCTGATGGTTTCTGCTTTATGAGTTTCATTAGCCTCCCTCTGGGATTGTTTGCTTTGGATTTGTTAGTTTACCTTTTCATCGACTTTGCATTTCTTTGTTTTGTCACACTGTTGATATGCATCATCTAGCTCTGATGTTCAGTCTTGTGTGGAAGGCAATTAAAAATTTAAGGTACTGATGTTTCTCTATGGTTTTGAATCCATTTCGCATCCATTCTGCCCGTGTTTATAAGGAATCATCAAAGCTCTGTTAAAAAAAGTGTTGCATTGCTGAAAGGTGTGTCTAACCTCTTAGATAAGCTATTTGGGATACACCTTGGTACTCCATCCATCCATCCATTTTCTGAACCGCTTATTCCCAAATGGGGTAGTGAGTACAATTAGGTATTTTGATAATATATGAGTGTCTTAATAAAATGACTAAGTTATACAGAATGTAGGATGTTGTTTTTCTTACAGGGTTGAATAAAGATGGGTTGTAATAACTGACCTGTTGGGGAAATTTAACATGAGAGATGACACTCTTACAGGAGAAAAAAACAAATCCACCGGTTCCTCATCTATTGGGGGTGGGTGTGTGGTGGGCTGAAGGGAATGAGTCAGTGGAGCGGCGCTGGGCCTTTGCCTGGTGACAGACTCGCTCCTGCGAGCAGCTCACTTCAAAGCCCCGCAGAAATCGGACTGGCTCCTTGTAAATAGTGCCGCCTGGCCCGAAGGCCCACTTCCTGCGCTTAACTCAACTTAAAGGCTGGCTTACTTGGCTTTGCATTGAAGCAGAGAAGCAAATGGAGAACAAGGGGTTGAGAAGAGATGCAGCCTGTGGGTGGGGTGCTGTAGAAAAGAGAGTCGGCTTTTTCTGGTTTAGAGGAGGGGTTTAGAAACCATAATGGAAAAAACAGTTGTCTGGTTGCATGTGACTTTCTCAGAAAACTAAACTACAAAGGATGCATCAGGTTGACCATTTATTCTAATAGAAAATTCAGACCAAAGGTAAAATCGTGCTTCAGTGATCTCCTGCCACTCACTGATTCAAGCCTCTCCGTTGATTCTGTCAGCCTTGTGGATGCTTTTGATGGGGTCAACCATTTGTTGTCATTTCAAAGTCCTCATCCACCATTTTTTTCATTCAAGATCCACTTAAAGATAAAAACTAAACTTTATCAAAGAAATAAAATTGTGTTTTTGGTAATGTTCCACATTGTTTGACCTTTTGGCTTCAATCACACCATATCCTGTTCTTCTTTAATAATCAAACCATATTATTGTCCTGAAATAAGGGTATCATTAAGTTTTATGGCCTCAGTAATTATCTCAGTATTTGCTTGTAACTGTGTATAAAACTGAAGCACTATAGCAGTGGTTAAACTTCCGTTCTGAAGGTCCCTTCTGTAATTTCACTCTCCACTCTGCGTGATCAGTTCCATGTGGGCCCTTAGCAACAGCTTGGTGGTGGAGGGGCCTCATTAAAAGGTAGAAGTGAAGCTCAGACATGGGAAGGCTAAAAAATCCATCTTACATAGGAGTACAAAGTCATTTAAATCTCAAAGCATACTTCTTTCTACTCTTTTCCCCAGATACTTTAATGTGGGACATTTTACAAAAATAGATGAGTTGTTATTATTATATATCAAACCACAAACATGTGATGTGTGATGTGAGTACAACCCACATGAAAGCTCATCACACCAGGTTACTTTTAGTTTGTTTTGGACTTTTCCATTTATTGAGATATTCCAATATCAGTTTTCAGCCTTAGGATGTTTTGTGATGGTCTTTGCAGTGCCCCACCCCCCTTTTTTTGTTGTTACTGAAGCCCCACATGTCAAGTTGTTGGCGGCAGAACCAGACAGTCTTTGTCAATGCATAACATCAATGGTGCAAAAAAAAAAAAGCAAGACCTTTTGGACCACAAGGTCAGCATTTTAAAACACCTCTGCTAGCCCCACTGAGCCACACAGAGGAGAGTCCTGGGACAAATGGGATTTCAAAATGTTGTAAAAAAGACATACAGTTCATTCTAACTGGGGCCAAATTTAAGTTCAAAGTTCAGATTTGTTTATACTTTGCAGTGAACTTTTTCAAAAGCTCGAAGAGGAACATTTTATATTGTGGTGCACATCACCCCCTGGTGTTTTGGTATGCATATCGTATACATTTTGCTACACGGTGCTCTTTTAGAAAATGCAAATTACCAAACAAATGAAGTTGTGCAGAATGGTACTTTAGAAATGTTTGATTTCCTGATAGCTGTGCATGCTAAAATGTAGGGAATTATTTAATTAGAACATGTTGCACATTAATGCGGTTGTTCACTATTTGAGTAAATTAGGGCATTGGGTAAAAATATCCACTCAATATATGACTCTCAAAGTAGTGGCTTAAGTAGTAGATTTGACTAGTTTTACAGTAAATGTGTTTTTTCTTTCTTGCAAGCCTGAGAAATTGGCTTTTAGTGTCAGTAGTTAGCTTTATTGTTACTTTGAGCTTCCTCTGCCTGAAAGTAATTGGACTGAAATGTAAAAAGTTCTTTAAAAAGTTATTAAAATACTGGCCGCACTGATAAAAATACATGTATATATAGAGATATACAGTATACACACACAGTGTCGTGGACACAGCTAAACTCCAGATGGTGCCATTTCAATGGTTTTTTAAAGATTATTCTTGAAAAAACAATTAGTTCAAATAAGTCAGAAATGTTCCGGGCTTGTAAATCAAGGTTCACTAATAACTGCTTATATTTTCATAACTTTGTTATTCAGTCGCTGATGTAAATTTGTACAGAAGACGAGACTTTTTAGTTGAAATCCCATGTAGTGGTAAATTAAACTGACAATAGAAATCAAAATTGCTCTGATGTTTTAATAAATAAGATGAAAACCTTTTAAAGCCCTGCAAATGGATGATATGAAAATGAACCTATAAACTTTCCACCAATAGGATGGCCTGCTGATTTTTACAGATCTGACCTCTCTGTTATTAAAACACAAAATAAAAATGTTCAGATGTTCCACATTTAAAATGAAAGTAATTTTCCCACATTCAAGTTCCAATATGTAGTAGACTTTTAAGCCAAGTCTCTGTCTTTTCAGTCTAGCTTCATGCAGCAACACTACAGCAGTTGTATTTAGCAGTTTGTGTCATATCTCTTATTCATAATAACTGCTTGACATTTACCAGGTGTTTGAGTATTTTCTGTTTAAATTCCCTGCCAATTCTCTAATGCCGCGGCCCTGAACTCCTGCTTGTTCAGAGGGCTTGTCCCTTCAAGTTTCTTCTTCAGCATAAAGAGGTCATGCACAGTTGGATTTGAATCAGATGACCGACTTGGCGTTTTCCTTAGCTTGAAGATTTGGAGTCACAATATTGTTACTGGAAAAAGCTCTGTTTAATAAATTTGAGGGCATTTACTAAAACTTCAGCATTAACATCAGCAATAACACTATAAGAGCGGCTAAGCGGGCCAGTACTTTTAGTGGTCATGCATTTACAATCTGAATAATAATGAAGCATTGAAATGCTGCATCTGTCCACCACATTCCCCTCTGACCTGTTGTCCCGTGTACTAAGGGCCTCTGGGGCACAGGTTGGGAATATGTGGATTGGGCATGTTCCAGCACAGCTCGTTTACTTCTAGGGAATCGTTTCTTTGAGATCTGTGTGATATTCCTCAATAGCCCTAAGCAGTGCGATGGGGCACTCTGGCTGGGTGGGAGAAAACATTTAAAATGGTGTTTTTTTTTTTTCTCATTATAGTTTAGAGCACCATTTACTTCTATCATTTTTTTTTTTACTGTACCAATTGTATTGGGTTTATTTGGCCTGTATGGTCTTTAATGCCATCTATGTGGTTAACCTAGATCATGGTCAAGTGAGTTATGAACTCACTGACAGGATTCCCTTTACATCTATTCAGGCTTATTTATTTATTTATATGTGTCATTTGCTTTAGTGGGGTACGTTTATGCCTATACTCCATCAATTTAATTCTAATTTTAACAAACCAGTTCGAAGGCTGGGTCCTTTTGTTTACCTGCTGGGACATGACCTGACTATCTAACGTCCAATCTCTCTCTCAGGCTGATATGGTAGTGTCAGACAGGGAGTGGGCCTAAAGAGTCTTTCGCGGACAAAAGGCATTCTAATTTACCTGCAGGCATACCAATCAACTCACTGATTCCTGTGGTGACGAGGACGGGTAGGAATGAAAGCATGAATGTGTCGGTCATTAAGTCTCCCTGGTCCTCTGAATTCTTGTTTTGTGGCCCCAAGTATTAGTTAAATTGATTATACTTAGTGGGAGATATGCATCAAACCTCCTTTTTTTATGAAAAAAAAAAGATTTCCCACCAACATCCAACACAGAAAGTTGTCCTGATTGGTCTTAGGGTTTAAATTAAACTTTGCTGGAAACTTTCAGTTGCACTGATATATCACAAAAGTTATTTGCTTCACCTTCACAACCCATTGCTGACTAACATTAAGTGGAAGATGCGTCCAACTGGCTATTCTATAATTAGTGAACATGGCAATCTTTTATTAAAAAAGCTTTTATCTACTGTGATTTGATGAGTTTATATTGTTATTTTGTTTTTTTTTACTAAACTGGAGATAAGAAAATTCTCTCTAAAACTTTTTTTTTGGCTCTAACAAGGATGCGTCTGTACTGTATGTGCAGCCTTTGGGTAAATGTTTGATTTGAGAATTCTGCTCTCACAGAAACTAAACCAGGCCCCTCGTGGTGCTGTTGTGTGTGATCACTGATGTGGAATTTAGGAGGCTGGGATGAGAGGGGAGTGGAGTTGAAACAATTTCTATAATCTCCTCTGTGGGCTTTGGTATGCATCAACTTTGCTGTAAGATGAAACAACTCATGAACAGTGGCATGCCAAAATTTAGACAAGATTAGCCAAGCTGCTAATTTATCTATTTAGCTTAAAACAAATAATACAGATTTCAATCAACCCAACAGCGGACCGCTGCTTTCTCTGGTGCTAACAGTCCCAATAGCTGCCCCCCCAGAGACATTTCTGGGTTCCGTGCAGTGGGTGGGTCTGAAGTGTCCCTGTTATCTTGGAAAAAGGCCCCCGTGTGCAGGTGGTGATGTACAGGTGTTGATGTATCACATGAGGTTTACAGCCCTCTCGTGTAAAATCAAACCTCTACAGTCGGCAGGTGTGAAATGAGCATTTACACTGTTGATGTTGGTGGCATTACAAAGTTCACTCCAAGCAATGATAAGTGAGCAGGCAAACAGAGAAATCTGTGAAGACCAGTGCGTTCATCAAACAGCACACAATATGACCTTTGGCTGGGTGAGTAGATAAGCCACCCCCTTCCCTGCCTTTTTCAGTCTCTCCTTGTTTATGAGTGGTGCATGTGTACGTTATCCCTGACTATAAAGAGAGGGGATTCGGGTGAAGGGTGCCGATTCAGCCATTGGAGAGACTCTTAGAAGATAAACAGATCCCTGAAACAGAAAGATTCATTGTGTGGGTGGAGCCAGTGCAGTCGAGGGGAGGGTGAGAAAAGAAGGCTCTAACGCGTGCTGTTTAAAGTGCCAGAAACGAGGGCAGAGCCTGGCTTTTGAAACGGAGGGTGATAAGAAGACACACTCAGGCCTGCTGGTTCCACAGAAGAGAAGGCAAGCTGCAGCGGTCCACGCTGCGAGCAAGAGAGGAAGTGTGATAATCAGCTGGGGAAATGACTTGGTGAATTATTGCTTGTTTTCCGTTTAGAGTTCTTAAATAGACATGAACGGCGAGAGCAGCAAACAGCGTTTTGTGTCCACCCTCAAGATGCAAATCAAACCATCATGTGCATCATCCCCTCAAAGGAATGGGACAGGAATGCCCAGCACCAGAGCCTTACTCAGATGCTCCAATAACGGTAAGGTCTGCATGAGACGAAGTCGGTGGGACGTTAATTGAAGGTTAAATGTCTATAAATGTCTATAGAAGAAGAAACTGGGCTTGATTTACAAGATTATTGTCACAGCAGAACTGACAGGTCTGAACATGATAATCCTTCTAACAGTTTGGTGAACTGAGAAAAGAGAGATTTAATTGGCTATGAAAAATTGCTTCCAGATCTAGTCACTGTTCACTTGTAGCAAACTGTTTTTTTCAAAGTTAACACATGCAGTGTTGGGTTTGTTTAGTTTACTGGTACCCTCAGTGGTGTTAATATTTTTGACTTGCTTTCATTTTCACGTCAGCTCACCAATAAATGGCTTATGACTTGTTTTGTTTTAAAAAGTCTTTTGACTTTAAACTCTACGTTGTTCATTGAATGGTGAAACATGTCTCAGTGACAAGTTGCACACTCGTGGTTGTGAGCAATTGGTACCTATATGTAAAGTTTTATGATTTACATCAAAACTGAATTGTATCTGTTTGTCAGTGTTCAGCTTTGTTCATTTTCCTGTACAGACAAAACTTTAATGAAAACAAGTAGAGACTAGATTAAGTTATGGGGGGGGGGGTTAAATGTCTTGTTTTTAACTGAGGAAGAGAGATTTTAAGCATACCGCAGTTGAGCTAAATTTAACTATGAAAATGGAACAACCACATTATGAGAGAGGAGGTGTGAAGAACCTCCTATGTGTCACTCAGAATAGCTGAACTAAGACCTTAACATCATCATGGTTTGATGTCTATACTAGTCCTATTATTTAATTAATTAATTAATCAATGAAATATTCTAAACATTGACAATTCTGGGATGACTGTAAATCCTAACCAGTGGATTCTTCAAGTGACAGTAGGATTTAAAGTTTTGGTCCACTTTGATCAATGTTTTTACAGTTTGTCTACCTGACAGGTCTCTTTGGAAGAACTCACTGTGCTTGAGAGTGTTATCACCACGTGATGAGAAATCTGCTTTTTTTTTTTTTACTTAACTGGATTAAAGGGAGAAAAATTCTTGGGAAAACAACACTTTCCCCAAAGGATACCACTTCAAGTGAGAGTTCAGTTTCAGTCTGGCAGAATTAGACTTCTTATTTCCTGTGGTCCGATTCATAAGACAGGAAAGAGAAAAACTGACTTGCATATTCATTACCGCAGTGGTTCTAGCAGACGTTGTGTCTCATGTTAGAAGCAGTCCATGTTTAGTTTTGAACCCCTCACATTGACTTCTGAATGAAAATTAAAAGGACAAATTTAAAAGTTTAATGTTTGACCTTAAATGAGCATTCTTCTCCAAATGCAGATGCAGTTTCAAAAACTATAGATCCACCTGTCTTCTTGGAGCCCATCAAAGACTGTTGTGTGAATGAAGGAAGTACCATTGTGTTGCACGGGGTTCTCACAGGAAGTCAGCCCATCAAAGTGACATGGCTGCACAATGGTGAGGACAACTTACACAGCCTCATCTCGGTCAGATATTTGACCTGCCTGCCTGACGGGGCAGGTGTTTGAAATCCACATAAGGAGTATTGAAAAATATTCAACATAATTTCCCACAATTGTAAGAAAATGCAACAAACTCTTGCAACAGTTGATTTTCGGTAATCGCTTCTCTCTAAACTCACATTTAGAGTGAAGCGATTACCAAAAATCAACTGAGGGTGGAAGAAATAACCTAAATCGATCACATATCTGAGGTTGAGTTGATCTACTTTTAATTACTTTTAGTACTTCGTAAGGACTGGAATAAGTTCTTATTCAAGTCCTTTAACTTAAAGCCTTTAGTTGTGGAAGTGAAACTCAGTGATGTGTTAAGTCTGGTAGGTTCCTAGAAACAGGGAACATGTGGTGAGTGACAAGCAGGCCACTGCTTATAACTAACTAACAAACAAACAAAAATCAACAGACAACAATGCCACATGCGACGGTAACCACCATGTCAGGCTTTGACAGGTTTGGGGTAGAAAAGAGAATTTCTAGCTTCTTTGTTCTTTGGGCAGGTGAAGTAGCACATTTTGGGAGTCCTTTCTTCAATGGCAGGGAGGCCCGTTTTGTTGTGAGGGAGTGCTTACCAGAAGATGCTGGAGCCTACACATGCTTGGCTGAAAGCAGGGCAGGGAAGACATCTTGCAGCGCTGCTGTGTTTGTTAGAGGTGAGGGACACAGTGGATCACTGTGGGACACCTTTCACGACGGCCAAAAATGCTGTGCAATTTCTCTTAATCTCATTAACCAGAAAATAAGATTTCAGCTTAATTTGCTGCCGAGTTTCAAAGAGCTTGTGACCGTTTGATATTTGCAGTTGACTTTTTTGAAGACAATAAGATTGAGCGGGACAAAGTTCTTTCTGTGACTGGTGGTGTGTGCTTTGTCCCTTTTTTCCTTTATTCATAACAAATACAGACTTCGAAAGTATCTGTGGTGTTTCAAAGCTAACCACAATTGCATCAGAGAGTATCATGGAAAATGGAGGGTCACCAAAAACTCCCAAAGACGAGCCGCAAAAGGCCAAAGACTCTTCTCCTACAAGCTGCAACAAGCAGAGTCCAGTCTCTTCTCCCAGAGGTATGTAAATAATCTTGAATTTAAAATTGAAAAGATTGATAGCATCTTAGCTTCTGGCATTACCAGAGTACTTTATTTCTATTGTACCAAGAACACATGTAGGCTGATTTTTCCTTTGTAATGCGCTAGAACATTGAATTATAGAATATCACAATTGTTAAACATTTTTTCAGGATTTCCGTGTTCAACTTTTAGAGGAAAACAAACTTCCTGCCCTTATGTGGTTGGCTGTCAGACAACATTTTTACCAATCATGCTTAACTTACACAACAATGTAGCTCGCTGTTCCACCCACTGAAGGTTTTCAGCTACCATCAAACACCATGTAGGGAGGTGGACATTGTTCAGCACAGTAAAACCTCCTTAGTCCGTCAAACTGATAGCCATAGTCAGAGAGAAGCCACACCTATACGCTACTAAACCCTACCTGCAATGTATCCGTCTTTACAGACGTTGTCCCAAAGAGGAGAGCCAACTCAGGGACAGGTGAGAAAATAACATTCTTCTTTACCTTCTAAAGTGCCAATTAATGCACTTGTGTTATTGAACTATTTCCTTTCTGTGTCCATTTAATATGTTTTAGATGCTTTGTGTTATTTTCATGCACTTGTGGGTTGTGAGAATGTCTTAGTTTGTCCTGGATGGTTCTGTTTAGGCCTATGTTCTTCACAAAATGTTGTTATATTCCAATACACAGGGAAAAGCGCAAAAAGTTTGTTTTCTTTCAGTGCATGCATCATGTAGCATTGTGGGGTTTTATGTTTGAAGAGGAATGGTAATATTTTTGATTCATTACATTGATTGTTCTCTTTAAAGTCTTTTGAAATGTAATTTTATCAGATTGAACTTAGTCAAATTCACCATCGGCTTGCCAAGTAATTTGAATAATGACAGTGTGGTTTCAGACTTCAGCTCATATATGGATTGTTTTGGTAATGCAGTGAATGACGAAGAGCAGGTGAATGGCATGTTCTATGGCATGCTTCACCTGTGGCCCACTTAGGTCATGTTTTGCACTTTGTTTGCACTTGAGACACTTGGTCGGCTGCATGTTGCCATACAAAAATAATTGTATTATGATATGAAAGTGCAGCAAAAGCTACAGGACATTTTAATGTCTGTGTCTCAGACTTCTACAGCTCATGGAAAAGTTTCCTTCCAGTGTGATTATTTGCAATTTAACAGACTCTACAATGAGCGGAGAGTCAAAACATTCATAACATTTTGTCTTTGCAGTCCCAGCGTTAACTTTTCTAAATCCCACGAAGCACCTGGAAGTAAAGGCAGGGCAAACTGCCAAGCTGACCTGCTTTTTCACAGGAAGTCCCCCTATTGCGTCCTGTTGGATCCGAAATAAAGAACAGGTACTGACATTCATAGGTTAGAAATATCCACATCCTCTATCATAAACTGAACTTCTTCCACCATGATTTTCTCCTCTCTGATCTGTCGTGTCATTTCAGATAGAGGACGGTCCAGAGGTGTGGACAGAAAATACCGACCAAAGCAGTACCCTGGTTATAACAGAGGCCAAACCACAGCACACAGGACGCTACACCATTGTAATAAAGGATCGCAAACACGTGGCAGAACACACACTTACCCTTTCTGTCATAGGTAAGATAATGCATAATCTGACCTGCTGGAGAAACAGAGGCAACAGTTACCTGAATAACGTTTTTTAAAATCCTGCACCCACCAGAGCGGCCAGAGCCCCCGGCCTCGTGTCCAGTGGTCACCCCTATCTCTGCGTCCAGCCTTGTGCTGTCCTGGTCGGGCCCTTGCTACGACGGCGGCAGTGCCATCCTGGGTTATTGGGTTGAGGTGAAGAACCAAGGAGGTGCTGAGGCTGAGGAGTGGAGACAGCTCACCGCCCGGTGCGAGAGCACCTCGTACAGAGTGTGTTCTGGGCTGGAGCCTCGGCAGGAATACTGTTTCAGAGTTCGGGCGTTCAACGCCGTGGGAGTAAGCGAGCCAAGTCCGGTTTCATCGTCTGTGAAGATGGAGCAAAAAGGTGAGGAAACAAGGGGGGGTTTTGAGGCCACGTTTGAAAAGCTCGCATTTGGGGAAATGCAACAAACCTTTGTTAAATTTGTTGTGTCTGTGCGCACAGATTCGGACCAGATGGAAAAAGAGCCCCCTCGTGTGTATTCCTGTATCACCGTTGAGTCATCCCACAAAGTCACAGATCACTACAATTTGCTGGAAAAACTTGGAACGTAAGGATCTGATTGCTCAAACTCCATTTCATAAACTGGATTTTTCAAGCAGAGTGAAATAGTGAGAAGTTAAACAAGAGACCGTGACATTTTAAATAAGGTGTGAGTAGAGGAGCTAACAATGTTGCCAAATTCTGCCATGCAAGAATTCAGACATGAGCGTGTAGAGACACGGCCCTATACACCAACTTCAGGGGTGGCATTAAGTCAGTAATGCACAGTAATCTTTCACTTCCACACAATGCATTTTTCAGAAATGAATTAATCCCTGACTAGATATCAGTCCATATATTTTGTTAGGTACATCTACAAGGTGAATTGTGACCTTCGACCTTCGAACTTCATACTTCCTCTTTTGTGTCTTGAAAAAAAAACTGTGAAAAAATATATATATATTTGTGTTTTAACCAGTGGAAAGTTTGGCCTGGTGTTCAAGTTGACACACAAAGAGACGGGACTCGTGTGTGCCGGGAAGTTCTACAAAGGACGCAGTGCCAAAGAAAGGAAGGCCGCTCTAAAAGAGATAGAACTGATGAACGACCTGCATCACCCAAAACTGGTCCAGTGCCTGGCCGCATACGATCACAAACCCGAAATGGTCATGGTAATGGAATAGTAAGTGTCACTTAGTTAAATTATGACAGCAGCAGTTAAATCTGAGAGCGTGCCGAGACTGTGAGTTGCTTTTTTTCTGCAGCATTGCAGGGGGAGAACTGTTTGAACGGATTGTGGATGACAACTTTGAGCACACCGAGCCTGCTAGTGCGCGCTACATGCAGCAGATCCTGGAGGGGATTGCCTTCATGCACCAGCAGAAAATAGTCCACCTGGACCTCAAACCTGAAAACATTGTATGCGTCGACACCACTGGCACCTCCATAAAGATCATAGATTTTGGATTGGCCGGCAAGCTTGGTAAGTGAAATCCAGCTCTTTTAAACCTGACCCGTCCACCATGTGTTCCAGCATGAAGTTTTGTTCACTTGTCTCACAGATGGCCAGACACCTCTGAAGGTTATGCATGGGACTCCTGAGTTTGTAGCGCCTGAAGTCATCAACTATGAGCCTGTCTCTTTGGCCACTGACATGTGGAGTGTTGGAGTAATCTGCTACATCTTGTGAGTCTTATGAGACCTTTTGGCTTTAAAGGAGTTATGTGACATTTTGGGAGACACAATCATTCACTTTTATTCCTGAGAGGCAAATTAAAAGATTCAAATCACTCTCCTCTGAATGCAAAAGCTGGCAGTGAAGTTACCAAATAAGTAATTCCTCAAATATCTCCTTAAAGAAAATTTTCAAAGTGAATATTCTTAACAACATAATGAATTACATTAAAAAAAAGAACGGCACTCAAAAACCCCTTGCTTGTTAAAAAAAGAAAATCTCCAGGAATTCATCTGAGACTGTGGTGTCTTTGTCTATACCTGCTTATACAACAACATGAGCTTCTGGTTAAAGTTTGTTTTGATTAATTCTCTTCTCTACCTTTGGATAACAGGTTTTTCACCGTGAGCTGGCAGCTGTTAAAGAAAAAAATGTCTTGAAGGCAATTTACCTTTTTAGCGACAAAGTACAAACAAAGTTAGCCATAACTTAAGAAATGTCAGAAAAAAGACATTTTCCCAGAGTTAGCGAAAAATAAACGGGAATTAAATAAAGGGCTTTGCTATCAGAGCGGTGGCACTGAATAAAAGAAAGGGATGTCAACATATGAACATTTTAGGTGCTAGTAGGGTAGCTTGTTATTTTTGGACTAAATTAAACCCATCTGGTTGCCAAATGTACTTGCTGCTGATTTAATCTACACAGACATGAAAAGGAGAGTTTTTTTGTTATTGTTGTTCTTTATATCTATAAAGAGGTGACAGTATACATCTAAGTGAGGAAATGCTCTGGTGAAAAACATACGGTTTTTATGTAAACCCATGTCACTTCTCATTCAGAGCCACTAAAGGGGAAAAGTTCCTTTCGAGTTCCTGCCTTTTGCTGCCACCTAGCAGACAGGACTGAAATAGAGAGTAACATCCTGTTTTCATTCTTCTATGCTTTTAGGTTGAGTGGCGAGTCTCCTTTCCAGGGAAACAGTGATGCAGAGACTTTAGCCTTGGTCACCGCAGCTCAATGGGAGTTTGACGAGGAGAGCTTCGAAGAGATAACAGACGAGGCCAAAAGTTTCATCAGCTCCCTTCTCAATAAGGACTGCAGGTTATACCCATTCAATCACAGCCCAGCACCCAGATAACCTCTTCAGTCAGCCACCCACAACTCCATCTGTGTCCATTAGGCGGAGGATGTCCTGCCAAGAGGCCCTTGACCACCCCTGGATTGCAGCATTTGATTCCAGAGATCTTACCTCCACAAAGAGTCTGTCCAAGGAGAAAATGAAAAGGTTCCTTGCCAGGCAGAAATGGAAGGTAATCCATAAGCATGTTCTTACATATATTGATATGGAAATGAGTATTGGTTTGTTTTTCTCATCTAAATGTCTGTTCTTTAGAAAGCTGGAAAGGCCATGTTAGCCCTAAAGAGAATGGCTCTGTTGTCCAGAAGCGAGAGCTCCAGTTCTCCCACAACCACTGGAGAGGGTGAGCGCCGTCGTTTCTTTCCAAATCCAAAGAAAAACATTTCTATTTGCCTTGTTTAAAGACTTCTTTTCAAATAATGACATATTTAATCTCCTTAACATGTTTGAACCCTTTTAAGATGACATGTTACGACACGTTTTGAGCTAAAGCAGCTATCAGTACGACAGGTTTGCAAATGCCCACTCAGGAGGGAAGTACCAGAGTGCAACTTTAACTTTCTTATCGACTTGTGTTGTCTAGCCTTCCCCCTGAGCCCGGAGGCAGAGCATGCCCTGGAGTCGCTGGAGCGTAAGATGCAGGGGCCTCCCTCGTTCACCCGCAGCTTGGAGGACCAGAGTGTTGCTCGGGGATCCTGTGCCCGTCTCACATGTCACCTCACAGGTACACATACACCCCTCTCTTTTGTTAAAAGAAGCATCTGCTTAGTTGGGCCTGATCCCAGTGCTTCTTCCTTCATTGGCAGGGTATCCCGACCCAGAGGTGGTGTGGCTGTGTGGGGAAGAACCTGTGGAGGAGTCCTCCACGGTGCAGATAGAGTACGAGGAAGATGGCTGCTGTGCACTGGTGCTCTCAAAAGCCGGACCAGAGGACACCAACGTGTACACCTGCAGGGCCACCAATGACCACGGGGAGGCATTCTGCTCAGCCAAGCTTGTTGTTCATGAATAGCGTCATCAGCAGCCGTACCAACAGCAGATAGAATTTGTAGATATGTGTAGTCTTGCGTTGAAATAAAGGTTGATATTTTGATGAAAGGAATTCAAATGGGGACCAAACTGTAAACTTGTAGTCGGGCTAGAAATATATAGCATGAGTATTTTTGAAAAGTCGAATAGAGTTACAGAGTAGTACGCATAGCAGGTGGTGTTATAGTTATAGTTAGATTTTGTTTTAGCTGAAACTGTGAAACATTGTGCAAGTGGCTGCAGCTTATGATAAATGGACATATTCATTCAGAAAAGCGAGCAGGCCTGGAATTATGCTGTTTGAGTAACGTGGTGTTGATGACCTGTGTTTTTTTATGTGCATCTTACGAGTTTATTCTGAGAAAATAGACACTTGATGGAAATTTGGCTCAAAGACAGGCCAAGACATGTAGAAATATCTACAAGTTCATACTGATAGAAAAGTATTTTCTTAAAGTCACAGCCTTAATGCAGCTTGCTCTTCCACTATTTTAATTTACACTGGATACAAAGCGGTATCTTTTGAATCAGTTACACACACTTCTTTTGCATTGTCTTTCTTGCATATTCTAAATCATTGTCCCAAGTTATTAAAGATACATTGTATTTAATTGGTTATTGACAATATTTCACCTCGTGGCCACAAGATCTCACCTGCTGTGAAGAAGAATCCGAGTAGGTATTTTGTGTTTTCCGATGAAGAGGTTAACTTTATGCCCTTAAAAGTCAGGAAAGTATGGGTTTGTGTGTGTCACCAGGTGCAGTCTGAGCTACAGCAACCTCACAACCCTAAACTGGGTTTAGAAAAGTGTAGAAAGTAGATGGACCTCTGTATTTTTTAAGTTGAAGTTGTGTTGAAGTTTAAATAAAAAGAGATCACATGGAAACTCAACTTTAATAGCTGCCTGTTATCCAGTGAAGAATGCAAGAATAATCTGTGGTTAAGTGTCTGTTTAACATAAAAATCATTTCTATATTTCCGTTTGTGTCGCTTTTTATCATGCTAATGATTCTGTTAAGTCTTCTTTTTTCACAAACTTCTTCAAATCAGATAATCTAAAGTAGGAATATATATATATTTTTTAAGAGTCTCAGTTTAATGCAGTTATCAGCACCAGTGACCAGGAATGTTGTTCCATTTTTTTAACCCAAACATTTAGCTACTGTATATATTTTAACGAATGGGTGAGATGACATATTTCAGTGTCTTTTAATTTCCTTGTGTAAACCCAAACCTCAGATTTAGGTGGATGTGTGGTTTGATTTAAACACTGCTGTAGATAAATGGAACTCATCCATAGCAAAGAAATCAGACCTGATATGCATGGATGGACAAATACTTACCGACCCGAGTGTGTAGAGACATTTTTCAGGAGATTTCATTCAAGGCCTTAACATGGCTGAATACTTTTGCACGCTTACATTTTCAGATTTTTTTAAAAACTTTTGATTTATTTATTTCAGGGTTAAAAATGGTCCAGAAGCTTTAAAAGATACTTTAAAAAGTGCTGTCCATTTGTGTAATCTATTCCATTATCTATGGAGTGCTTATCTCTACATCCACATGTCCTAGCCTGACTTCAATTTTCATGGAGTGTAGAAAGTTTGTGGTATGTCATTCGTGGGTTTTTTTCAGCAATGACTAACAAATCCAACAGACAGTGATCTTTCAATGTTAACTTTTAACCGGTCACAAACTAACAAAGTTTACACAGCACAGCATGATGTCAGTCATTCCTCCGAATGACAGGCGGTCATTTACCGAGTTCCCAGACAAACCAGGTGGGAGGGAAGTATTTAATGTACTCTGAGGTCGCTGGAATTGAAGTTGTGCAACTGTTCCCGCAAGTTTTTTTTCCCGTAAACTGTATACTTATGCAAACTCAACACTGCGTGACCAGTTACAAATTACAGATCCATGAGATTGTAAAACCTTGCCTGGATTGGATGTTGCAGAGCTGCTGGGCATCAAAAAACTTAAACTGTATGAAGAAAACAGCACTGAGCAAGAGCTGCCTATTAGAAATTGTACAAAATAATTTCTATCACACAAGATAATTTTAAACAAAATATTTATTCTTACCATTAAAATAAATACAAATATACAGCAATGTAAATAAATTAGTTTGTGGTTGACAAATAAATAAAATCAAGTCCATTCCATGTATGAGTCATCTTAGAAACAAGATACGAGTCCGTTCAAAGAAAAGATCCAGTCCTTTGTTTTCGACAGCTGTGGATAGTACGTAAATCAGCAGGAATTCAGGGTTGGGTAAATAGTCTGGTGGAACATGGATGGAGGCAGGGTCAAAGGGTGCCGCCTAATGTTGACTGTCTCCGCAAAGAAGCCTCTGGGCGGCTCCTGTAAAGTGTTGCTGCTCGGGACTCGAAGGCACTGACCATTTGCTTCACCACTTCATCAAAGAACACACTGGCCAGCTGAGAGTGCAGAAGAGACTTGAACTCAAATGACACCTACAGACGACAAAAACAGAAAACTTTAGTAAAAAGTAGAACAGAAATCAGGTCCACAGCATGTCTTTGTGATCACCTTCAACAGAAATCCAAGCAGTTCCTCACTGATGCCAAATTAACCTGCTCTAACATTAAGGTCAACCGCTGAAAGCTGCTCTTAATCATTATTCTCTACAGCCTTAAAGGACACTGACGCGCTCCTCAGGCCTAAACATAGATCTTAATGAGATGTTACTCAACACTTCCTCCCAACCGGTAATCCATTCATAAAAGTACAAGAGTTAAGGCTTGTAATTAGTTTCTCGCTAAGCATGCAATCTGACCACTTCTATACTATGGGTTAGATATAAAACTGTGATCAGAGTGGATCATTTCAACATCAGTTGTTACAGCTCTCATAACATTTTATGTAAAGGAGAGAAAAGAAAAAAAAACTTACAAAGAAATCCACTTTGCAAGAGTCTGGTCGGTCTTTGGCACCGGGGGCAAACCTCCACACTGTTTCAAGATGGCTAAAGAGGGATCCAACGGTGCACACAGCCTGTTTCAAAGCAAATATGCAAATATGTTATTTATTGCCAGAAGTTTACCATTTTAAACAATGAGTTGGTGATCATGAAATATGTCAGATCAATGCATAGATGATCAAAAGAAAAAGAAAGTGGACAAAATTTTAAGTATCAGAAAATGAAAAGTCCCAATAAGTCATAATTATCTTAACATTAAACAGATTATCTCATATACAAACATTTTAACTCAATATAATAATATTGCTGTAAATATATTCTATTTAAACTCAAAATAGTAAGAAGAAGTCACTCGAGTAAATATTCCCAGATCTACATCGTTTCCATCACTGATCACTACCTTACTGCCTCCTTCAGGATGATTATGAAAACAATGTAGCACCTGAGATTATGAGATATCTGTATTGGCTATTTTCATTCACTGAACAGAATGAGCGCTTACTTTGACTTGGTGGTTTGGAACGAGGGTGAGCTCAGACGTGTAGCGTTCAGTGATGGGAGGAAAGCCTATTTCAAGCTCTGCCTGGATGCTATCTCCTGGCCCCTTGATCATCCTTGACTTCTTGCACCAGGGAACAAAATACCGGTACTTGTCCACATTGGCCACCACATTGAACATTTGCTCTGGAGTGTACCTGATCACACAGAAATAAAAGGTGGGGCAGGTAAGAAGAGTGTCAAGAACTTTTCTGACGCAGGATAGTTGTCTTTTCGTGACCTCCTAAAGGCCACGTGGCGAGACTCACTGTAATATCCGGCTCTCGGTGTACTCGACCCTGCGGGCGGCGATGGGGGCGGCCAGGTTGATGAAGCTGCGGCTGTTTGTAGTGACAGGTGTGGCAGGAAGGAGCTGGAGGCTGCTCCTCCTGGCAGCCAAAATGCCGCAGGAGCTCAAACGTCTGACAAGAGAACATTATGCATCTTTGAGCGCACAGAAGTACAGGACATGCATCACTTTAACGAGAGAACATACATTTTTCTCAAAACTGGCTCATGGTGTGCTTCTATATATTCAGGTTAATCTGAATTTGGGCTGAAAACAGTCTCAGGGAAATAAAATTTGCCTAATCATTGAAATAACCACATAATGATTCAAATGAATTATTGTTCTATGATAAAAAATGTCATTTCTAAAAAGTCAATTTGATTAATTTCCATTAAAAGTCTACGTCACGTGACTGTTACGTCTGCCAGGTTTTGGAACAGGTAAACGCGTGTGGAAAACAGACTTTAGGGGAAATTAGCGAAAGCAAAATGCTCTGGAGAAATACTCTCAACATCCAACATCATAGTGATAACTATACGTCACACTTAGCCACTTGCGGAACTCCTCCAACCTGTTCTCCTCTCTGATGGAAAATTTGAGACTCACCTGAACTGCGTTTGTTTGGTGTTTCCCCGCGCGACCCTTGAAATGTGGATTTCGTTCATATCCATCAGCGCCCTGAAGAGGAGAGACGTCGTTTTATTGCTCATTTTGGACTTTATCATTAAATCTCAGTGACCAACAGGCAGCTCCTTTCGTCCAAATCAGCGGCAGCTATCCGGCTTAATTCTGACAGGCGCGAGGCGAAGCTCGCTGCCTAATAAGGAAACACCTGACGTAACGAGAGGTGCCGTGAGGCTGACCAATCAGAGCACTTACGGGTAAATTTGCCTAAATCTGTCAAAAATACATTTTCAAAAGCCTTTGTTCACTATACTACTATAAATATATACATATTTGAACTGTTTGGATATCTTATATACTGTTTATTGTTCTGAAAATCTCAATTTGATTTGTTTATAATGTATTTACATATACACACAGGATCACCAAACGTGTTTGTCACCCTAGTTCATGGCATTTCAAGAATTTTCCATGAGTAAATCAAAGGAATGACCTCTGAATGACACATGATGAATATGGACTTTGGTGTTGGGGGGTGAATAAAGGTTGTCAAAGTGACTTAAGTTAAGATCAAAGCAGAGAAAGGATGAAGCCCTCTCTAAATCATACAATTCTCAGTTAAATGTTTGAACTCAGTTGTAGACAAGCGAATCAAATCCCTAAGCAAATCTTTGATAGTACTCGTACATCAGAATCTAAGAGGCTGACTTATGTCAGAGAGCTGCTTTATTAAGTGGCTTTGCGACAACCCAGCCAAAAGGAGTAGTTGTGGATCCAATTCAGGAGATTTAGTGAGGAATTAGGACACCTGATCAAGGAAAGGTTTAAGAGCAGGGCCAGTCCTGTCCAGGAAGGGTCAGGGACGTAACATGGAGATGTACAGACTCTCTCATTTAAAAAGAGAACACGCTAATGCTGAGGAGACAAAGCCACATATTACAAAACGAAGGGTTGGTCTGCCAGCTGGCTCTCCTCTCCTTTAGGCTATGAACTCTTAACTTTATACAATCTTTCAAACACTCTACAACAATGATAGAAAAGTATTTATCTAAGCTGTAGCACTTCAGATAACACAGCTGTTTGGTAACTTTGTTAGAATTTAAACCATCTTCTCTTTCTCTTTGGATAGAAAACTAAAGATCTTCTGTCTCTGTTATCTTCAATCACAATATCTATTGGATTTCTTTTTAGTTTGTTTGTTTTTACTTTAAACTTTCACCAGTTTCACTGACCTGCAGATCGCTGGTGCCATAACGTCACTGTTTGAAAATGATGTCACTGATGTTGTGCTTTTGGCTCACCTTCATTTCTGTAATGTTATCATCATTAATAAGCTCTTTTCAAATGGTTTAAAACTTAGCTTAAGAGTATATGCTAACATGCTTGTCTAAAAACATGCAGACTGGAAAAACACCTTTTGTATGTCAGAGGTAAAAAATTTCCAAATGTCACAATGACATGTTTATTGTCTAAAACATTGTTTATTTAATGTTGCAACATGAACAGACATCACAAGGAGAAAGAAACAATCGATTTGTAGGTGAAAGGGTATTCTACGACTAAGCACCTATTGCAATTTTATTTGACCCCTTTTTATGTTAGTATAGTAGAAATGGTGTATGTTAGGCAATTTATTCAAGTGAATACAATTATGTTTATATATATTTTTGTCATATGGTCAGTGGTGGGAAGCATGTATTTAAACAAGATTGGTCATTTGATCAGAAACAATTCAAACGGCCACTCTTTCACTTCGATGATAAAAGTTATGTAACCATAAGATTTTTACTTTGTGCTTTAAAAATATTGAGCTTTTCCTTCGTGCTTAAAATAAAAAGGAGAAAATTGCATAAGTGCATTTTTCAAATATTTCCATTTCAACAATATGGTAAGAAGCAATCCCAGAAAGGTTATGCAAACGGAGTCAAGAGCTCTGTCAAACAAGCGGCAAGAAATCTCTGTGGTATCACTCAGAAAATTGAATTTTATCAAATCTGGTCAATATCCTCACCAGGGATAAAGAGGCTCGAAAATAGAATATGAAGCAACTCCCAATCTTCGATGGGCCAACTTTGTTTCGACGGCTAAAATTAGAAAGTAAATATAAAAACTTGTGCAAACAAGGGAAGCCTCCTTCACCCCAGTCACAGCTTTGCAGTAACTTAACAGCACAAATGTTATTGTTCAGAGAAAATGATCCGGCTCATGGCACTGATGTATTGAGCTCCATCCGGCTCTGTGAACTTCAGCCTGGTCAGTGGGGGCATGGCGCCGTTGGTGAAGTATCTGAAGGAAGGGCTGGGTGACTGGATAGCAGTTAGAAAGACCTGGATAGATAAAAACGCAGAAAAATAGTACACAGGTGTTTGATATTAAAAAATATATAGACAACAATGTGTTCATTTAGCAAAGAGGGAACTTGTGTCAGCGTCTTCACTATTATAATGTGATGATGGAATAAAGGCTTCAGAAGTTTCTTTTGATGAACTTATGGTGATGCAAATACCTTCACGATGTCCTCTGTGTCCTGTGCGGCGGTTTGGAAAACCGAGCTGCAGTGCTGCAGATACTTTTCGTACAGACTGAGTGTTTGGGCGTCCACGTCTTTGAGCGAAGGATCCCCCACCTCGGCCTTCTGCAGGTTCACCATGAAGCTGGTGTTGACCGGACCGCATTCAATCAGGCTCACGCTGCAGCATCAAACATTCAGTCACTCCAAAACTCAAAACTCCCAAATAGGACTGAACTGAAGCAGAAATCTTGCTATAAATATTCTAACTCACTGTACATTAAAGTGTTTCAGGAGGACAGCCAAACTCTCACATGCTCCCTCGATCGCAAATTTACTGGCACAGTAGACTTCATTAAAAGGGAGACCTACGAGAGCAGCGAGATGGGTTAATTGGTGAATTAAAAAACATAGTCTCCAATCATAATCTATATCAAATTACATTTGGGGGTCCCTGCCTCATTGATTCATCTCACCGTGAAGGCCTCCAGTGCTGCCGGTGACCAGTATGCGGCCCTGGCCCCGAGCCTTCATTTCTGAGAGGAAGGCTTGAATGGTCTGAATGGTTCCCAGAAGGTTGACCTCCAGAACGTGCCTCATGGAGTGTAAGGGCTGGGCCTCCAGTGGCCCCATCAAACCCACGCCAGCGTTACACACTGCAAACAGAAACAGAACAAACCCATTAACACATGCAAATGACACCCCGTCCAATCCGGTTTCAACCGGAAAAAAATGCTGCTGCAGGTGTTTACCCAAAACGTCCACCCGTTTTTCCACAACTCTGTCTTTCGCATCCCAGATTGATTGTCGGTCAGTCACATCCATTCTGAGAATTTCCAAGTTATCCCTGTGCGGGCCTTTAACACTCTCTAGAAGACGCTCCTTCTTGGCCAGGTCCCTCATTGTGGCATAGACTAAACAGAAATGCAGCTCTTTGTGATATATTCAACCCAATAAAAAATCTGCATTTTCTTAATGAATCGATACAGAAATGTGAATAATTAAACATGAAATTATTTGAAACAGAATGTTTGCAGATTTGTGGATTTTGATAGATTGAGCCTGTTGTATAAAGGCCTCATTGGATCCTAAAGCCCTTCATGCTACTTGCCCTGATCCAGTTCAATATATTAAAGAAATCAAATAACCTACAGGCTGAAAAATTACGATAGATACGTGTCAACTGCTGTCACCTTTGAATGTTTGGTCAGGGTCCGACGCTAACCGAACAGCGAGGCCGAGGCCGATACCAGAGGAGCAACCCGTGATCAGCACCACCTTCTTCTCCATTGAGCTCAGTGAAAAATGCCTCCTTCAGGGGAGCAGCTGGAGCAAAGTGCAGCTACCGCCAAATGAGCGGGGCGACCATATGGAACCAGAACTCTTCCCAGACCTCAACAAGGTCACATAATCCTAAACATCTTCCTGTTATCGGCCACCTGCAGTCCCTCCATTTGCTCTCATGTCCTTGTGAATAAGGTTTGCTTTGTTTTTAGTTCAGTCATGTGGAAAACATGTGGTTTGAGTAATCTTTTATAAACGTTCCTGAGAGCTGCTTCTGTCAGCATACATTCTTATGTGTGTTAGGATGGCTCCATCTGCCCTAGACCGTGTTTTATAAAAACTGAGTGTGTGACCATTAAATCAACATTCATATAATCCACTTTGACTGTAGAATTATTTTCATCAAACTCTAGATGGCAGCACAAGATCATCATGTCCTTTAAAACAAACCAGTATCGCCTTCTATGTGTCCAACAGCAGCATTCTCCAAGGTGAGAGTCATTCAATTAAAACTGTTTTCTATTAAAAATTAGCATCCTTCCTATAAGAAATAACACTAAAAAATGGCACTGAGAAGAGCAGAAAAAAGTCTGGTCATCTGTCACAGTAATCTAATCTTTAAAAAATCCAATGTATTGTCTACCAAGAGGAAATTCAATTTCAAGTTGTTGTTTTTTATATTTAAATCCATTAAAGTTACGGACATGTCCGTGAATCAGTTCAGCCTACCGTTCGCACAAGTTCTCAGCAGCATGAAGGTTAACCCCAGAGTGCTCACAAGGTGGCAACAGAGCTTCATGTAGAAAGATTTCATTAGTTCACTCTGGCTGTCACTATTCTGTGAACTATTCTGCTCTTAACTAGGACACACTTGCTAACCAGTTATCTAAAAATAATATATTGCCGAACAAGCTAAATAAATTTGTCTTATTTCACAGTGAGATACTTTTCACATTGTAAGCTTATAGAGCCAACTGAGAGTTTGAGTCAGAATTTTATGACTAACATGCGTGTGATGAGAGTTTTAAAGGGACACATCTTCTTTCTCTCTCTTTCATCTACAATTTCCCCTTTTCATGCAAATAGTTTCATTCACAGGTATATTTTCCTATGACTCAGTTTTTGGTCATTCAGAACATTCTTTTCTTTATATAACATTTCAGCAGCTCGGATTATGGGGGTTTCTTCTGCTGATGGGAGCAAACCAAGTAGGAATTTCCTGCCATTTTGTTGCGTTCCTCCCCTTGAGATGGCATCAGCTTGGCTGCTGTCCCAGCGTCTGGAGGACAGATAACAGCAAGCCTTGAACTTCTCACAACTATAAACTGCCAAGCATTGTTCAAGCTCTTGAACTGGCTGACCTGATTCATTTCTTGGTTTTAGTTATTTAATGATTCACATTATGAATCCATTAATTGCTTCCACAGATCTTTAAACACTTTTTTTCCTTCCTTCATACATTCTTTAGATGGATGCAGACTGAAATGGTTTGAATTTGCATTTTCTCTTTCTCCTGACGCGTAAATAGTGATGCAGCCCTCAGAAGGATGGGCCTGCATGGATCGATTAGTTGTCTTTGAGTCCTCTCTGGCAGCATGGTGTAACTTATGGACCATGACCACCGCATTTGGGATGTTTCCTGCCACAAGTGACCTACTATTTCCCTGTTGTCCAGTAAAAATCAAAAGGTCTACTGGAAGAGCACAGTGACTGGAAAAGGCTTTAAAATGCCTCACTGGCAAAACTGGTCCACATCACAGGGGGGAACCAGACTTCTGAAGAAACTTACAACAGTCCAGGCTAAGAACAAAGAAATCCCACATGTACAGCTTTGTGTATTTTGGTATTTTTTGGAGAAAAAGGCACTTTGAACGTAGCTGACACATCGGCTTGGCCTCCTGCTAATATACTCTGCACCGAGACCAGTGCAAACAGTGACGGCTGTATTTTCTGGTGCTTCAGAAGGAAAGGCATGACAGCTCCCTGGTGTCAGCCCATTCATGTGCTCAGCCCGAGGAGGACTCAGAGTCCAGAGCAGATACATGTGATGAGTGCATGAGGTAGACACAGTACAAGGCTTGCACAATGATGACATTGAGTGGCAGCAGGAGCAGATGTACTCGAAAGGATGTCCCATGTGAGAGTAATGAGCAGAAGTGAAACAGCTGAACAGTTGTGGCAAAGCTGAAATGTCACGCTATACCTGGAAACTGCAAATAGCTTTTTTAAATTTTATTCTCTCAAGTCTGATTTTTCAAGTGACAAAATTAAATGATTTATAAACTGATTAGAATTTTTTGTTCGCATCTGGGTAAAAAAATCAACCATATCCAGAACATGTGAATGATGGTGAAGTATTTATGATTTAGAAAAAGCAAAAAGAAGTATGTATATACATTTCAGATGTTTTGCTGGAGATAAGGCCAATGCAAACAGAAACAGAAGTCAATGCTACTCAAGCATGTTATTGATTTAAATGGTTTCGTACTAACTGCTCAAAAGGTTTAGTTTTCATTACAGAAACATACTTTTTAGTGCTTCCCATTATATTTTCAATTTGTCCTTTCAGCTTTGGTTATGACAACTATAAAAATGTGGATGTTTGAGAGGATCGCTGTGCATTGCATGTTTAACGGATTTCCAATAAAAAGGGCCAGGATTTCTCCTTCTGTGGAACCCATCCAGCTCCACGGGATGGCTGCTAAAGCAATATGTTGAACGCATTCTCATCACTGAGAATCAAATCCTAGATGATAAGCTCTAAAGCAGGGAGCCCTCACTTTATAAACTTGCGCATGAGGTGTGTGCTGATGAAGGATGTAGCTTTGACAAACTGCTCGTTTAACCACTGAGCTTGTGGCCGTTGGACTTCCTCAGGGTAAAGAGAGAGCCTGAGAAATGTGTAGAATGTGGCTCACAGGGTAATATAGATACAGTGTGGCTCTCTCCGTCCTGGTAAAATCATCATGGCTGAAACAGGAGACGACGTGTGGAAATTATGAATGGTTCCGAACACACACTTCCACAGTTCTGGCTTAATAAAACTGTTTTCAGTTTTCAAGAACAAAAGAAGCTAAATTTAAATCATTTCAGAAGATCTTGTGCTCAAGTCAACTTAAATGGATGTCAATGGATGAAAAACGGGTTTAATGACTGCTGTAAGTCCATAATTAGGAGAGCTTTTAAGCTCAAGAGTATTACAAAAAGAAAAAATAATAAATCAGTATCTTAGTACTCACTCAGGCCTGTCACATAATTTGACTTGTGTATTTTCCCAACATGATACTGTGGTGCTGGACATGAGGCTTTACGTCAGCTCCAGCCCTCAGGGTCACTGGTTGACCCGCTGGCTTGGCTATCTACAAGACTTGTGTGTATACTAAACCTCGGCTCTCCAGGAAATGGCATGGATCGTGTCATGGGAAATGTGTCCTCTGTCTTGAACCAACTATTTGAGACATTCTTTAGCTGTTTTATTGGGGACATCCTGTTCCTTCTCTTCTCTGGGTCTTTAGACTCATAAGTCTGTCTTGAAACTTGACCCGACATGTTTTTAGCCAAGAACTTTCATATCTTAGTCATACTTTAAGAAGGGAAGTCAGATGGGGGCAACGTTTTGGTGCTGCAGTGTTGTGGAGAATTTTTGCTTGGTCGAGAGGAACAAATGTATCTGAACTATGTATCAGAAGCTTGTTCCGCTGCAAGATCCAGCTTGCGAGATAAGATACATGGAAAATGTTGTCAGGTTTCCTCATCTTGACTGGAAACCTGCAGACTGAAGACAGCTTTCTCATAATGACCATCCCTTCCATTATCCCTTTTTTTTAATGACGTTCCTGATGATGAACGTTTGCATTCTGACCGATGAAGTCACTGGCACACCCCGGCCTCCACCTGGTAACATGAACTCTCTGTTTACAGTGAAATCTGGAAACACTGTTGCTAAGTGTGGAGATCCGGCGTGAAGCATTGTGTTTCTAATCATATTAGTAAGTGAGCACTTCCCAAAAAGACAATGCATGTGTACAGCAGCAGTGCACACCCCACCTTTTCTTTTAAGCTGTAAACATTTCTTTTTGCTTCTTACTCTCTCACGTGCCCCTGCATCTTATTTTCTGAATCTCTTTCCTGCGCCTCACGTGTTCACCAAACTCACTTTCCCTGACTCTTTTGCTCAAAAGTCGGTTTGCGTGCTCTGCTGAAAGATATGAATAACTTAATTACTATCATTATATTATATTTGATTTAATTTCAGGTTTAAAGCAACAACACACTTTTTCTATTAGTTTGCTTTGACTTCTGTTACAGAAACAGCTAAAGTGAAACTTTGACAAATTGTAAATGAGTGCAGCCTCAGAAAATGATGAGAGCCTACCAGCAGCTGACCCCTAGTTCAGTTGTCTAATCAAAGCATCAACCCGTACCGTCCTGGAACCAGGTTTTGCGCACCTGTTTCTTGCAAATCTGCTAAATGTCTGTCATCATCAGCACCTTTTCTGCTCTGTTCTCTTCGTTGACATTTTTCAGAGATCACGTTTCCACGGGGCCTTTGTAACGCACTTGCCACGTACCCTGTATGTCCCACACTCTCACAGTTCACAGCTAATCCTTGTTATTATCTAACAAACACTTACCCTTAAGCAACTGAAAAGAGAGAAATGTCGTCCATCTTCATTTCTAACATACCTGTTTTGGTTTGTTTAGTTTTTTTTCTGACTGGGATGTTTTCATTGGTTGGGCCCTCAACAGGTTTGCATATGCTATTTTTGAAAAATGGTTTCACGAGACGGAAATAGATATACCTGTCAAAAACACAAGGGTGAAACTCTGGGCCATTCCTTTCACAGCTGTGTATGGTGTCTGGGCGACATCTTTGTGATACATATTTGTTTTTCTGTTCAAATTCCTGCTGTGGTTTCTGTCAATTTTAGACGGTGTTGAGAGTAAACGTCTGAAATGCTGAAGAATATGGATTTAGGATACACATGACATCATGTCAGTCTTATGAGCACAATAATACACTTGATTTATATACCTTAACTTTCGATTGAAATCCGATTTTCACTTTCAGCTGACTT